TGGAAATTATCGGGAAGAAATCACATGTTAAAATTAGTCGACGTTCGATTTTCTCAGGTTCAGTTTTTGCTCGTTTTGCTCGCTAAAACACGTGCTTGTTCGAAAAACATACTTGGAGCCAGCGTCCTTTTGAAAAAAAAAACGAACTATAGTTTGCATCCTAACTAGTTAGTTTGCAAACTAACTGGACGGTCAGTTAGTTTGCAACGGAACTAGTTTCGTTGCAAACTACCTGGCCGGTCAGATAGTTTGCAACGAAACTAGTTGCGTTGCAAACTAACGGATTTCGCATACTAACTGTAACATACTGTTACAGTTAGTATGCGAAATCCGTTAGTTTGTAACGCAACTAGTTTCGTTGCAAACTACCTGACCGGCCAGGTAGTTTGCAACGAAACTAGTTCCGTTGCAAACTAACTGACCGTCCAGTTAGTTTGCAAACTAACTAGTTAGGATGCAAACTACCTAGGTACGTTGCAAACTACCTAGTTACTTTGCAACGGAACTAGGTGTGTTGCAACGGAACTAGTTGTAATGCGAAATCGACGAGGCAGTGGCTCTGTATTTGTCGGTTATATTCAACTTTTATGTAAATTTTAACAACGGTTGTTAAAACAAAGCTGTGTTTTTCTAACGGGTGACACTAGACATAAGAGTAGGACGGGTGGTCACATTCATGGATGAAACAGTGAATTAACCAGATTAGACTACATAATGTGACGATCACTGGCGGATCCAGAGGAGGGGCAGTTCCGGGGGGGGGGGGGGGGCATTTTGCGATTTTGATTTTTTTTTTTGCGACACACACTAACACCAGTCACCATCGCCGCCGCACAGAACAGAACTGAACTGTATTGTCCCATGGCCCGTGGTCCGGGGTAAGCGTGCGATCAAGAATCTGTCTCAACGGCCGACTCCTACTGCGACTTGCCTAGCCAGGTGACCTAGCGGTGCCGGGCCATTCGGTAACAGCCAATGATCAAAGGGCGGGCTGCGTCACAGGCTGATCGGTTGTGGAGGTAGGAGCTCGTCAGCGGCGCGGTTCTGGAATAGGGGAGACCCGGGAGGTATGGGCCGGTTTTGTGAAAAGGCAACTTTCTTCCAGTGGGCAGTGGCTACACCCGGTTATTCACTCTGTGCACGTGAAATTGCCTTTCGCCTGCAAAGTGTGCCTGATAATAGGCATCTGGGACCAACTATTTTGTCTCGAGATAACTTTCAATAAATCATGCGCTTTTTCGATCCATCAAAATACACCGGGAGGTATGGGCCGGTGCTATGTTTCATATTCTTTTCTCGACAATGAGAACAATACTCGTAGCTGGTATCTACCTTGATCTCTCTTAGAGCCACCGCATAAGCGGCCAACAGCTTACTTCATGGAGGTCACTTGGGCACATAAGTATTTTGGTAAACTCAATCATGCTCCACGGAATATGATAAATAATATTTTTTTTCTGTTCGAATGAAATTTTCAGTTAAATGTTCGACCTTGCGCTCAATGAAAGCATCATTTCATTGATTTAGGATCAACGGGGGTGGGTAGCCCGAACCTCTCGGCTAGGACGCCAAAATGTGCGTAGCATCTCAGCTCATACTCTTGCAACAAAGCTTCAAATTGTCTATCCAGTCCTAATTTGCATGCTTTAACCTTCCAGGCGGTGGGGGGGGGGCATTTTTTGCCCCCCTTTAGTTTTTTCTTTTTTGATATATCTCCAGAACCACTGCGCTGATCGTCACCAAACTTTCAGTACCCTCCCGTAAATAGCTATTGCACATTATGACCAAAAATATTTCCAAAGGCTATGATAGGTTGGCCGCTAATGACGTCAGTGTGACGTCATTTCTTCCATTTTCGACCCAAAAAAGGTTTCACGGGAAGAGCTGTCAGGCCTACAGCTTTAGAGATACAGAAAAATGTTTAAGATGTAAAAGGTGTAGAATTAAACGGGCTATAAAACTGCTATCTCGAATTTTTAAAGTTTTGAATTTTGACCCCCAAAAATAAAAAATAGTTCAAAATCGATGATGTCAATTTTTCAAACTCAATTTTTAGCAATTCTATACCTAGTAGCGCAAAACAAAGACCACCATTAGACTCCCCGTGACGAGCTGCATCGAATCAATATCCATTTTATGCAAACCGAACAACTTTGAAATTTGACCTTTTTTGACCTGACCTTGACCTGACCTCCACCAGAAAGTGACCTAAACCGTACCTGATGGTCTTATAACCAACACCATTGAGTTGGAAATGAAAAATTGGCCATAAAACATGCATCGCGCAACCTTAGTAAAGTTGGGTTCATGTGGTGACCCTTGGTGACCTGACCTGTGACCTGACCTGGTATGACCAGTGACCTCTTATAGCAACATATGTACTAGACAACTGACGCCCTATCGCTGATTTTCGACAAAATGCGTTTTAATCGGTGTTATAGCGCTTTCCCTAGAAGACCCGTGAACGGTGAAACATTTTATCTTTGACCTGACCTGTGACGTCATCGGTGACCCCGAGGTCAATGAAATTTGGTTTCCCTTCACAAATTTGACAGGGCTATCGGACGCCGTTTGAATTTTTCCGGATCCGTCCAGTAGTTTTGGAGATACGGCGGGGCAAAAAATGCCCCCCCCCCCACCGCGCGGAAGGTGGCCGGGAGGCCCACCGCCTGCCGGGTTAAACTTTATGTTAGAGCTGGTCTGACATCATAAAACGAGCCTGGTTCAAATTTATCACGATTTTTTTTTTGTATGTACCGTATTTTACTCGAAGAGGGCAAACACGCTTTATCACCGCTCATTGCCAAGAAGACTGAGGAAGATTTCGGAAATCACATGGGTCATGTATAACGGACTGGCTGCTACCAGTTTACGCAGTCAAATGTGTAAAAATACGCAACACTTCTTCAAAACTGTGATGGTCTATACCTTCGGGGGGCCCATACCTCCCGGGTCTCCCCTATTCCGAAATCGGCAGCAGAACCTTTCTTTCCGCTTATGTCTACGCATTTATGGTGATCACTAGCGGTTCCAGAAAGATGGTCTTAAACGTTGCGGGAGACATAATCCCAAAAAGTTTCTCCTAATTCCAAAAACCTTTCGGATTTTGATTCCAATCCTTACACACGGCTGTGCAGTCTAAAAAAGTATTTGATTATAAAAGTTGTTCAGTTTTCGTTTCATTCTCATGATCAGTAAATATTTGTCGCTTTCGGGCGCTGCGTGGATGGCGTAGCGATTTCGGGCGCTCCCCACCTCTGGATCCGCCAGTGATCGTAACGTTATGTACTATATAGTCGAATCCGATTAATTCACTGTTTTTATCCTAAATGTGACCACCCGTCTTATGTCTAGTGTCACCCGTTAGAAAAACACAGATTTGTTTTAACAACCGTTGTTAAAATTTACATAAAAGTTGAATATAACCGACAAATAGAGCCACTGCCTCGTCGATTTCGCATTACAACTAGTTCCGTTGCAACACACCTAGTTCCGTTGCAAAGTATCTAGGTAGTTTGCAACGTACCTATAGTTCGTTTTTCTTAAGTTTACCCCTCACTGTAAACGTCTTTTTGAACACAGCACGAGAATTGCTAGCTGAATTACTGAGAAAACTGGTTTGCGCACATTGATATCACCAGATTTCACAGACGATCAATTTCATCAAATTTGTTTACTATTTCACAGACTCATAGCTCGTATTTGCCCATACCTACAGCTCCACAGTGATAGACGACTTCTCAGGAATTATGTCTGAACTAATTAATAAATTGCACGGCGTTTAACATTAACGTTACTTCGTCTGTGCTCCAAACTTATTTTGAAAATATTATTCATATCTCCAATACATTGTGCGCCAACCAGTTTTCTCAGTAATTCAGCTAGCAATTCTCGTGCTGTGTTCAAGGAGACGTTTACAGTGAGGGGCAAACTTAAGAAAAACGAACTATAGGTATAGTTCGTTTTTTTTTCAAAAGGACGCTGGCTCAAAGTTCAATATCAAAGCTTTCACGTGAGTTTTGGCAGCTTCAGTGTCTGGCGAAGAATTTCTTACCGAAAAAATAACCGATTTCAAATTGTGCACGGTAAGTAGCTGGAAATTGTTTCTTAAAATGAACATACTATGATGACGTCACTGGTGGCAGCAGGCACCCAAATGTCCGTGCAATGAGACAAGTGTCAACGAATTTGGGTTAAACTTAGTTTTTCACTGTTGCCGAGCTTATAATCGAGTAAGCAGTTCCGTCCATGATAGTTATAAGTTACATTACAATACATGTTCGACAGTATGACGTCACCACTGTTCTCATATATGGTTCCAAAACGCACATATGGAAATTATCGGGAAGAAATCACATGTTAAAATTAGTCGACGTTCGATTTTCTCAGGTTCAGTTTTTGCTCGTTTTGCTCGCTAAAACACGTGCTTGTTCGAAAAACATACTTGGAGCCAGCGTCCTTTTGAAAAAAAACGAACTATAGTTTGCATCCTAACTAATTAGTTTGCAAACTAACTGGACGGTCAGTTAGTTTGCAACGGAACTAGTTTCGTTGCAAACTACCTGGCCGGTCAGGTAGTTTGCAACGAAACTAGTTGCGTTGCAAACTAACGGATTTCGCATACTAACTGTAACATACATATAGTTATCTTGCAAAGGAAATAAAAAGTCTGATACATGGCTCATGAATAATTCAACGAAACAAGTTGTGAATATTACAGTCTCTGAGCACAGTCCAGTAAACATTCCAGCGCTTTTACTGTTCAGTATCTCATAGTTGCATTTTACCATAAATAAAATTGGCCGTTCCTTGATAGCAAACAGCATACCATATATCATGTAAAGCTTTTTATGCCCCCATCATAATGCATCCGGGCGTGAGCTCCAGTTCTATTTCTGATCGGGTACCAGCTGCTCATGAACAAACTCCGAACTGCACAATGTGTCGCTCCGTCACAACAAGAACGTCACATTAATCTGTGCTCTGCACCCTTGTTTCAGAACCTGAAGAGTCAAATTATGACAACCAACCTGTGGGTAAAACACGTGAGTACCTACATTCCTAGTACTAATTAATATGTAAAAGGGTCCGAACATTTTTTTTATATGATATAGAATATAGATCATCGTGGTTACGCAAAGACCATTCTCATTCTGCGAGTTATGTTTATATGTTTGTCAATTTTACTACGCATGTTGCGTCTCTTTTTTGCACAATTATCACATAAAATGCTTATCGTCTAGATGTATTAACCCGCGCCCCGCTGGGCTATTCAGCCATACGCGCCCTGCTGGGGGGGGGGGGCAGATTCTGCCCCCCCCCTGTCTAACTTCCGAACCGATGGTCGTAGAAAGACGGGGAAAACGGCAATCGAAAGCTCTCAAAAAGGCGGATCTTAAGAGCTCAAATTTTTTTGCTTAAGTAGGTCAGAGGTCAGGTCAAGGTCAGGTCAAGGGTACAAAATGCAAGTTTCTACAGTATCGGCCTTGCACCGTAGTTGCCGAAGAATGGACTGAGACTGATTGCCAAAAACGTGTTCTTAGACTACCAAGACCATATTCGTTGCACACAATGTCATTCAAAGGTCAAGGTCAAGGTCAGGTCAGGTCAGGTCAGGTCACCAAAAACAAAATAAAGAAAAGGGCATGTGCGACACATGTTTTATGGGTCATTTTACTCATGGAATTCAATAGGCACACTCAATAAAGTGATATGGACCACCTCTGGATGAATTTCAGGTCGAGGTCAGGTCAAGGTCAGGTCAAGTGAGGTCAAATTTTGAAGTTGGTTGTTAAGGCCTAAAAAGGTGTCCATCCGATGCAGTTTTTCACGGCGAATCGAATGGTGCTATTTTTGTTTCCGTACGAGGTCTAGAACTTCCAAAAAAATCATTTTTCAAAAAAATTGTGTGTCGTGACGTCATAAAATTTTGAATAACTCCCACATTTTTGAACCGATTCTTCTAAAAATTGGTATGTAGGTTCACATAGACCACTTCTTTGACATATAATCCGTTTTTTTTATAAACTCAAAATTTTGGATTTTATAAATATTTTCCCAAAAAAGTCAGTTTTTTGGAAAAATTTTTGCCAAAATCCAAAATTTTCAAAAAACCGAGATAGCCATTTGATAGACAAGGTAGAATCACGTATAACCTTTTTTGTTACGTCTTGATTCCTTTAAAAATGAAGATGTTAGCGGCGTTTGAAATTTTGCCATTTTTGAGGCGAAAATGGCGGACATGACGTCACTAAAACGTCAATTTCTCAAAAATTTTCCGACGGATTTCGCTCAAATTTTCAGGGAACGTGTCAAATTGATGTATGATAAAATACTGAAAGTTTGACGTCGCTTGCGTAACGCGTTTAGAAGTTATTGGCGAAAAACGGGAGGGGGGCAGATTCTGCCCCCCCCCCCCCAGCGGGGCGCGGGTTAAGACTACCGGCACCGGCAGAAGTTTGGTAAATTTCAGTTTTTTTCATTCTTTATGATTCATGAGCCCGAATCATAGGTCGACCAATGAACATTTTATGAACGAATCTCGTCTTCCGAAATGAGGTATAAACGCCAAATATCAGTGTCCGTCGTGTCATTCATTCGTACCATATGATAACGGGAAAAGTTTACCATCAACGAATGGCAGACCTTGTGACTTTTGCGAGTTCAGTCTTAAGTGTAAGCCATGTTGTCAGGCTGTATTGAAGCTACACCGACACACTTGAGGATATCGGGCAAAGTTTGGTCGACCCAGCCGCAATCTCAGAGAAAGCTTGGTGGTCTGACGGGACGTCAGGGCTTCTCTCGAGCCATATCTCACTCTTTGGAGCGATTGAGAGGGCCTTTCCCGGCTGAGTTGGTCTGTCCAGTTGACTGCACCCCATCGCCAGCAGTGCCGTGGACGATTTTAGCCGACTTTGAACGTTGGTTCGAAGCGGTGACCCGGATATGGGGGCGGGGCGGAAGGGTGGGGAGAGGTTAATCCTCGCCCTGGCAGGGGGGGTCGATGCGACCTCCCCTAAGGTTTTTCGAAGATAGCGTATAAACGGCGGCGCGCAGCGCCGCCAAATTTGACACAGCCTATGGGGCAACCTTTTTACATATCACCTGAAAATTTCAGGTCCGAGTGACCTAGGGTCAGGTCACCAGATCAGAAAAACCGGTACAAGGTCATGGTCAAATTTCAATTTTCTTTTTGCACCTGTCCAACTCACAGTTTTGGACTGATTTCCTTCAAACTTTCACGATGTTCTAAGTTCATCGAGTTGTATAACATATAGTTCGGGTTTTTTGAGGTCACTGACCTGAGGTCAGTTAGAGGTCATTGCGTCGTAATGTTAAGCCTATGTAAATTACTAAATTCGGAAAATACTGGAGATATCCGCTTCGTTCCAACACTTTTGTGCTTTGAAACCACAGTACTTAACAGCAGGTCACTTGGTGCTTCTTTGTTTGGTGTACGGGGACCCGCAGTTGCTACTGTACACGAACCCCAAGTCTAACCGTCTGTCCTGTCCAGTAACAACCGATAACATTGATATCGACTGCTGGTCCCTGTACAAGAGCAGCTGAGGTTTCCTGTGAGTACCCTCTGACAGCTTATCGTTGTTCCCTGTGAGGGTGCTGGGACAATTTACTCAGGGTCACTGTACAGTAGCAACTGCGGGTCCCTGTACTTATCCATGGGTCAGGTCAAATGAGGTCAACTGAGGTCAAATACTTCGCGACTTGCATTGGCTGGACATTCACCACCTTGTCAGGTATCATCGGATTTGTATGGTGCATTCTGTCGTCACCACAGGAAGACCAGAAGCTATTGCGAGCACGATAGGGCACACAGCAGAGCACACGTACCAGACGCGTACTGTAGGCCACCATGCGTTGCCCAGGATACGCACTGAGGCGGGACGTCGACGCCTGTGCTATGGCGCTGTCAGAGACTACGATCGTCTGCCGTTCCGTGTCGACGCGAGAGGCTTTAGGCGCTGCCTGCGACGGTATCTCTTGAGAGAGCAAAATGGTTGTGGGTAGAGTAAGTGGATCTTGGCCTGTCAATACTGCCTATAAGCCTATACCATTCTTATTTTATCAAGATGACGAGTGGCAATGAAAACCCATGCTTTATGGATTTGTCGTAAATAAAGAATCTGAATCTGAATCTGAATCTTAAATGACGTTTTTGCCAATAACTTGGCACATAATGACGCTAGAGCTTAAAAATGGTATCATTGTGTTCCTGGTGATCAGCCAAATCTAATGATATGCGATATGATGCAATTTGGTTAACTTGAACTTAATTTATAAATTTAAGTTTACTTAAAATTTAAGAAAAAAACTTTAAGTACACTTAAGCAAGCTAAAAAGTATATCATTCGACGCGCCTTGACGTGCTGAGCTCACTGGTGCTTTTCTTTTTGCTCTATCTTAATTAGTTATAAAAGTTATAAGCAAAAAACTTTTGACCTGTTTTTAGCGAAATTTTTACATTTATACCCCCAAAACCCCCCTAAATATTGACCTAGAGCAACCAAATTTGCACGGGGGCGAGAACTCCAAGGGGCCCACCTACCTACGAAATTTGGTGTTTCTAGGTGCCATAGGAGCCAATCGCGAGGGGGGTCGCATCGACCCCCCCCCTGCCAGGCCGTGTTATGAAAAATGCCCTGCCAGGGCGAGGGTTAAGGGCCCCGGTGGAGAGTGAGGTAAGGGAGGGACTACAGGGAGGAAGGAGGGGATCGGATACAGCGTGAGCAGCGCTGCGATGGTGGTGGGAATTCATACGCTGGCGGCGTACAGATTTCGGGCTGGGCTTTCCAACTTCTCTTACCACAAATCACGCATACAAGTTGATAACAGCGTCCCATACAGCTCGCTTTAAATGTCCCAGTGTCCACATGACTCTTTATGTCGTTTGGTCAGGCATGGTACGACTACAAGCTGACCTGGTCACCTGATCACTACGGCGGAGTGGAGATGCTGCACGTGCCCTCCGACCACATCTGGAGACCCGACATTGTGCTCTATAACAAGTAAGCGGCTAGATGAAGTCACTTTTTTCCGCGTAACGGTTTTGCTCGTGATTTATGAGACAATCATATAAGTTCGTATCTTGTACGTGTGAGTTTTTGAAAGTAAGTACAGCTTACATGCTTCGCATTCAGTTACCTTATGAGCTTCTACTATGTGTCTAAATAATTTGTAATTATATTTTGGACATTGGAATCGCATGCGCATTTTGAAGGTCATTTGTTTTTATCTATTGCTGCTTGCATTCGCGTGGAGAGAACAGCCGTAAACCAAACGTGCCTTTGTGTGTTACATAGTGTAACAGAGTTCTGGATTATTGTTGTGGCTCGTCACCTCTGATCGTGTGAAAGAGCAGTTGTTTTAGCTGATAAATGACATCGGAGTTCCCGATTCATTTTTAGCAATTGCTTTGTTAAATGCAGTGCAAATTTTACGTTCGAAGTAAGCAAATTTAAAGGAGAATTAGGATGCAATTCCCTTACTAATTTGTATCTCAAATAACAAGCAAAATAAATGCTGCTCAATAAATACTTATTGAAACAATGTTTCCTCTTTCAGTTGCCATGCCTAGCATTTGATCGGCGCTATTGTTATACGGCCGTTCTAGTTAATGACGGAGAGACGATCCTCGAGCATCCAAACGAGCCGAGTTTATAAGGTGCCGAGGATAGTCTATTAGCTTGAAAAATCGCAACTAATTTAACTTCGTTAAGAAAAATGCTGATTTAAGAACCATTAGGTTATTTTCGAGCCTGTCGGCTACCCAGGCTCTGTGAAATATGGGCCAACTACGGGCCACACGTCACCAGCGGGCCAAGTTGGGCTGCCCCGGCCGTCTCCCGTTTGGTCGACGGCTGTCCTGGGGCGGCCGGGGCGCGAGTTTCCTAAGTGTGGAACTGCCCATACCTAGGGTCTCTGATTGGCGTAAGCTTCGCCAAGATGACGTTACAGGCTGTGACGTCATGGCTCACAGTCGGCCTACCAATCGCTGCACGATTATAGGCTAGCGGCGCGCGGCACTAGCGCCCCTGGTGTTATTATGGGAAGTTGAGCAATACATTGAAATCTAATACGTAGCTTGTGTTGGAAACAATTACGTATTACTAAGGCGTCAATGTCTCACAAATTAATTCGTCCATGCTCCTCAAATTTTGCAAAGTGACCTTATATTGTGCGTCATAAGGTACTACGCTTCAAACAATCAGCACACAGCACCAGCCAGGCACTGTTGCAAGTAGCGAGCAGTTAGGTAAGTGGCGGCAGGTGGCGCTACCATCTCCAGCATCGGTCCAGATGGCGTCACTCACTATCCGCACTATAGATCCGCACTACCTGCTAATAAAATAAATAATAAATCCGCTAATAATCTGGCCAATAAGTCTGCTAATAATAAATCCGCACTACCTGCTAATCTGTGTCCTATTGGTGTCAAACATCATTCAACGCCGACAGGCAGTATCACCAGCCGTAATACTGAAGACATTTACTCAATGCTGAAGCGAAACGCAGTGCACAAACCCCACCGACAAAACTCAAGCACCTCGTAGGAGATATGTTTCCAAGGTGGGCCAATGCACGAACGACAACTGAAATAACACCGGTTATATATTCACGTAGAACAAGTTGCTATTTCTCTAACTAGGGAACTCGCTAAAATTAAGACTGGCTAAATATTTACGCAGGATAACTGGCTCCGCCTCTTCGCCAACTTAAGGACCCGCCAATCCATGCACCTAGCCGCCAGCGCCAGCTGATGACGTCACTCGAACGGGCGACGGTATGAATAGTTCCACACTTAGGAAACTCGCGGCCGGGGCGGCACTCCGGCGCCACCGCCCGCCGACGCCAGTGTTTTCAGCCCGCCCCAGTCACCAGAGCACAGCGGGCCGCGCCAGGCGGCATCTGAGTTATGTGACCGCAACCGGCGCCGCCCCGACCCGGGGCTTCAAGGAAATCGGACACGAACATAAACCAGCTGGTCGGCCGCCTTATCTCTCCCCTACCGCCGACACAGAGTCTAGTCGCGTGGCACTGTAAAGCGTCGAGCCGTCCGTCCGACCGGCCGGCCGAGCCTTTGAAGTTTCCGAGTGGGGTTCGATTCGGCTCGCGTGGAGAGAAGCTCAGCGAGCAGCCGACCGGAGCTGGTCCAGCAGCCCGAATTGATATTACACGGAGCTTCAGAGGCTGATCTAAGACGCTGCCCAACTCTGCTTTGGCTACAGTGTTCAAACATCTCACAAGCTACACGAAAGTTATGCATTTTTTCCGCTCACCTTTAAACAGTTTGCCAGTATCTCGGGCCGGGTCGGAGGCTCTGTTGAAATCCCAGCTGTCTCTCTCCGCTAATGAACGAGTGTCGTTCTCGGGGCGAGGCTCGTTATCGAGACACAATGAGGCCGCTGCTTCGCCCCCTCCCTCGTTAAGCAGGCGCCGGGCGGGCTCCACGGCACCGCTGGCTTCTGAGCAGCTCTCGGTGTCCGCAACAGAGCTGAACTGGCTCGTCCGGACGCTGAGCCGGGCCGTAGCCGGGGGCTAAACACGCCCCACCGCTTCTCCGAACTCAGAGATAGGGAAGACGCTCGGACAGTTACTGCAGGCATCTGATACAAACTTCTCTATCAAGAGGATTATGTGCATTTAGGAAATTTGTTACGTTGCTATGCAGTTAGTTTTCTACTTTTCTGGCAGAGCTGTCTTTCTCAAAGAGTCACCCTCTTTTTCTGATCATACCAGTGAAGAACGCCGGATCAATTGATTATCCAATTTTCTTGAGATCGACACCGATTACGAAGCATTCATCGTCACTTATCTGGATAATGAGATTGTCGCTGCCTCTGACGTACTCACTTAGATAAGCGTCTCCGGCAGAGTTCACCATCTTTGAAAGCGTCATTTCGTCTCTGAGAGCGTTCTTTTGCATTTGAGGGCGTCCTTTTGCATCCGAAGGCGTCATTTCGTCTCCAATGTGTCCATGTTCAATGTCCGTTCTTTACCCTAAGGGCTAAGCTCATGAAGGTAAGACGCTGTTTTAGATGCGTGAGCGCACTGCTCGTGTAGCGGCTCGCCTACTTCCGAGTTCCAACTACGACTTTTCAACTACCTACTTCAGTGCCAATATGTTTTCGGAGATTTTTGGTTTTATGTTGATTGAGTCTATCCAAATCTGAGACCTGCATCAGTCTACAAGAAATGCCTCTGATTCTCTGAACCTAAAAAGCATTCGTTTTATCTTGTACAGAACCCCACTCAAAGAGCATCTTTTCGTCTCCTATAAAGCAGCCATTGTCTCCCATCGAGCTTCTTTCTGTCTCTGAGAGCGCCCTTCTCCGTCTTTCCCTGTCTCCCACTGCCCTTTCACTGGTATTTCGCCCTGCCGCTGTCAGCATCGGCTCAGGCTCGCCACCTCTTGTGCGACTCGGACTAATCGCATTCATTAATTCGCCGCGACGTCACATCCATTGTGCCCCGACGCCTACTGACCCCCCCCCCCCTTCCCCCTCCAGCACGGGCGACCGATCCCCTGATGTGATTGGCGGTACAATTTCCCTGCGATCAGCAGAATTGTCCATCAGGGTGATAAGAGATGGCATTAGTGAGTGCGCTCTTCAGGTTAAATACTTAGGCTTGTTAGACGCGAATAGACCGGTAATTGTTTACTTCACCAGTCACTCACTGTTGCAAATGGCGTGCCATAGAAAACATAAATACATGCAAAGCATTATCAGCCGCTGTCGTTATAGATATAGGAATATCTGCCTTATTTTGTTCTTTATTTTGGTTTATTAGCATTTTGTTCACAATATATGTTTCTTAGAAGCATGCTCATGAACTGGGATGCAGAACAATGCGCACAGCTGTAAGTACTCAAGGAAAGCATGTGCAAGGATAATTGATCTCCGGTGCAGGCAGCGTCTGGTAACCAGGGCGGGTCGGGCGCTCCCAGTGGGTCAATACCCCGTGCAGGTCGGGGCCGCCACAGTACCCTCTACACACGGGGCGAGCCGACTGCCGGCCACAGGACACTGGCGGCCCGGCCCGGTTCTGATTGTTTCCGCCACGGCACACACACGGTGCAGAGAACAAATGCGCCACCATATCCGATACGGACAGCCACCGATATTGGCGAGGTCGTGGCGGCCGTACCCGATGCTGGCGATACTTGATCGCATAAAAGATGCCGAGAGTGCGGGGCTGAATTCGGGCTGATTTTAGACAGTGCTTTCCTAAAACTGTGAGGGCGATATTCTAATCGTTGTCTTGCAGTTTTCAATCAATATTGGCGTTGTCGGTATGTAAGTACTGTAACCGTCCATGCTGAGCGCTCCATTGCTGCTTATCCAGGCATATCTTATTAAGTCTGACCCACCCGTAGCAGTATTTCATTGTCGTAACCGACAGCGTCAGTGGAAACGAAGAGTTCGGTGGCGTTGCCATCCCAGCACCGTGATCTCCCTGCCGTCTCTGGGTGCGGCCCCTGGTAATCAGCCCGAAGTTTACAATTGCGTGTCTCAACGCAGAAAGTTTACCACAAACTTGGTAATTGTGATTTGTTGTAAACATGATGCGTCATTGTTTTCCTATCTAACGCCATTTCAAGTCCACAAGACCGAATTTCAATAATGCGCTTTTGCCAATAAAGAGTTTGCATAATGCATACCAATTAGCACAGATAACAGTAGTACTACTGTACTGTACTACTGTTATCTGTGCAATTAGTTACCAGACATAATTAGTTAACGTCAAATAATATGATCATGCTATGTTGCTGCTGTGGGTGTCCTCTGCTTCTGTCTATCTGTCTACTTTTTCCCACCTCTGTCTTTTCTCTCTCTCTCTGTCTCTCTCTCTCTCTCTCTCTCTCTCTCTCTCTCTCTCTCTCTCTCTTTCTCTCTCTCTCTCTCTCTCCCTCTCTCTCTCTCTCATTGATCACATTCTCAATCCGCCAACTAGTCTACACAGCCCCTCCTTTACCAGCAGCTTTCCTTCCTAAAACCAACAAACCCTCCGACACTGCCATCGCATCCGGTCTTCCTTTCAAGCGCTCCGGGTATAGCATCTCCACCCACGCCCCTCTCTTATCCTTTTATCCGAGCAAACTTGGCTCGACCGCACGGCCGTCCTCCATTCAGCAGTTTTATCTTGCCGCGCCATTGGCTGTTTTTATGACGACACTCGTCTCGGCCGGCCGGTGCTGCCTCGCCTCCCCGTCGGCACAGACCCGCTGCAAATCACGGCCACCCGACGACGGCACGACCGTATACCGGCAAACGACAGTCGTGGCGACGGCAGCGACGGCGCCGACGGGGCTCGGCGGCGGCTCTGGACACCACAGCTGACCGCCCATCACATCTCTCCCTCAGCGCCGACGGCAATTTCGAGGTGACCCTGGCCACGAAGGCTACCCTCTACTATAACGGGCTGGTGGAATGGGAGCCGCCGGCCATCTACAAGTCCTCGTGCGAGATCGACGTCGAGTACTTCCCGTTCGACGAGCAGACGTGCGTTATGAAGTTTGGCAGCTGGACCTACGACGGGTTTCAGGTGAGGAAACAGTGCTCTTTTTCTGTTGCGTAATGCGTATGCTTCCATTTATAAGGCGTGAATTCTTCCACAGATAAGAGTCCATATCTATAAGTTATAGAGCTCCAAATGCCGTCTTTGGAAATGCTTTGCTTTGATACAATACCACATTTCCCGTGAATTTCGACTGGACTCGTTGATAATCCTTGATTTTCTAGAGATCGTACAGGCAGCTGGGGGACAAATGTCTCAAAGATCCAACGATATCTTTCTTCCTAATTAATTTTCGGTGAACCTTTTCTTGGATTGGTTTCTGACAACAGGGTTCTCTTGGAACAAACTATTAATGTTTGACGACTTTGAAGAAGGCAAATAGAAATGCTTGTTGAGCAAAGTTCAAATTACTTTACTAGAATTATTTTCATCTCGTCATTGCAATAACCTACAAGTGATTAGGTACAATCGAGAATGGCTGGGACACTGCGCCTTTTTTGAAGCGTGATTAGTGAATAATATTTTATAAGCTAGTTCAGCCTTACTGCGCTACGTAGCGTAAACACTATACATCCCCGCGCTGGTATGTAGCCAGCCTCCATTTCACTTGCCATTATCACATGCTAGAAATGAGACACATAACATACCCCTCATAAAGGCAGCACGACCTCATTCGTAGTCAAACTTCTCCACACATTCCCGTCTGACTCCGGTCCAATTTCAGCACATAAGGCTGAAGGCACTGGCAGAGGCCCATAGGAGCAGAATACCGCCTCTCCGAGAGAGCCCCGGCCCGACACTCGACATGAACCACTGACTTGTCAACGGGCCACCGGGAGATAAATGGTGGCTCCGGCGGGCTTCCGTGCCTCGTCAGGTTTCCCAAAGTCAGAGCACAATGAGTGATAGTCTCACAGAATGGAAGAAGCGGGTTTCTCGACAGTCTTGGTATCACTCAACATGTTTTCTTGACAGATTCTCTTCACAAGAATCAGACCAGCACGTCCTTGAATTCCATACCACCGACGACTTCATTGCATTCCTGTCCATTGTCAACCAAACGCTACATTGAACAGCGCCTCTGACAGAGACAGCACACTGTCCAAAGCCTCTGGGGAATGGTAGCCGCCTGACCGGGGCGGATCGGAGCTGTGTCCAATGTGCTCCCAATTCCCTTCACTTGGCCGGGGCCCGCCTCTCAGGTCCCCTGGGTGCACCAACCCCAATAAGGTAAATCGACTACAGACACTTCTGAGACAGCGCAGTATTCGTATATCTAGGTACTGTTCGGCTGGAGCGGTTGTGTAAGAGCACAGAGAGAGAGAGAGAGAGAGAGAGAGAGAGAGAGAGAGAGAGAGAGAGAGAGAGAGAGGAGAGAAGGAGGGAGAGAAAGAGGGAAAGAGAGAGAGAGAGAGAGAGAGAGAGAGAGAGAGAGAGAGAGAGAGAGAGAGAAATAGGGGAGAGTGAGAGAGGAGAGAGTGAGAGAGGAGAGAGTGAAATAGAAGGATGAAAATATAAAGAGAGACGAAAGATGAGGAAAAGGTGAGAAATTGAATTCTTACATCAATGTAAATGAAAGAGTAAGAGATAAACGACAGTGGCCACTTTTCCTCCACTATCGCCTTTCTGCGCCTCCCAACTGGCGGATGATCGAGGAGGTTCGAACGGCGCTGATACGGGCCAATTTCCACGCGCCTATCTGCTGATTGGGTTTGTCATCCGACCCCGTTCGGTGGCCGGCCGGGCGGTGACAGAATTCGGCCGGCGCCGCCGCCGACCGGGCCCTGGGCACGGTCCGCCCGTTTCTCGGCCGGTTTGGTATTCGGCGGCGGCCGCCGACCGTCGGGCCGGGCTGCCGTGGAATCTGATTGCCAGCTGCAGTCCGACGGCGACCCGCTCCCTGACGCTGACGTCGACGGCACGACTGAGGTCGACCACGGGCCCGCCGCTGCTCCAAGAGGCAAACACAAACACGGTCACCGCGCCGAACCGCACGCCGCGGAGCGGGCGCGCTCCGAGCCGACGGCGCAGATATTTGGGCGGGCGAGCGCCGAGATCGGTGGGGTCAGAACGATTGGATTTGGGGAACGGCCGCCATCCGGCGAAACCATCACATTAGCATTTAGTCGAGCTTTGTTTCCCACAGCATTTATGTGGGGTTTTGCGTTTCCAAACCGAGTTAATGGATGCGTCAAATTGTATAGGTCACGACTGAAAAAGCAGAACAAGCTTTCCAACAAATGTGGCGATATGTTTGGGCAACGTAAGCTGCGTGGCATCTGGATATTCGTAAGTGTTTGTTATTTTTCGCAAATCGTGCGTCTTTGATTTCTACCAGGCGAAATACCTACAACTTAAAGTACCTGTCCTGCCAACAAGTACCTGCTAAAACGTGCCATTTATTAATCTTTCCTCCTAGAATAACGGAATTACTAATTAATGCCTATTTTTAAAGTCTCAGTGTTGTTTACGTCCCGTGGCAGAGGCCCAGCTAAGCCCAGCAAGTGAAAAAGCTCGCTGTTCGCCTTGGTGATGAAAGTGGCTCTGAGTGCCAGCACAGGGTGGGTTTAATTAATACCTGTCAATAAATTAGCAGAAAACGCAAGCCATATTCCAGCCGCTCTGGAAAATGCAGCCTCCAGCCAAGCCTTGTAACATAAGCTATAGTCGGTGTATAGGTAACTGAAACTTATCGAGACGGTCTGCGACTGAACCGATGGAGAGAGAAAAAGAGAGAGAGAGAGAGAGAGAGAGAGAGAGAGAGAGAGAGAGAGAGAGAGAGAGAGAGAGAGAGGAGGGGTGATGGGTGGGAGGGGGAGTAAGAGAGGGAGGGAGGGAGAGAGCGAGCGAGGAATCGAAGATGCAGGCGTATCAGGCTCTGGCATTTCACAACTTATGCATGGCTCCAGAGCGGCTCCAAGAAGAATTGCCACTCAAATGCAACATGCAAAGCGCATTGCTGACCCCTGAGCTCCAGAGAAATTGATGCCCGGCAGGCCCTGATAGATTGGTGCGCAGAATCACCCGATTTAGCGAATTTTATCCGACAATACTTGATTTAGAGTAGAAGACACCAAACTCCTACGTTTGGAAGTATTATGCCGATCCCTGTCACTTTTAAAACCTGATAATGAGCCACAGGTTTTGATTATATTTGAAATGATCTCGCAGTCGTCTACTATCTTTGTTGCAGGTGGATCTGCGTCACTTTGACGAGATCGAGGGCCAGGATCTGGTGAAGAGAGGGGTGGATCTGTCCGAGTTCTACATGTCTGTGGAGTGGGACATACTGGACGTCCCAGCAGTCAGGTGAGACGTATGAACCAAATGGGGTGTAAGTACTGGGCACCTGGCAGCAGACACTAGACAGTTTGGGAACAGAGCCTCACCTTACCTAGCATGCTCATTACAATTTTTAATTTGTGTTCATCTTGCCTTGACTTCGGTGCCAAAAGTAGCTCCCAACAATCACATTTGTTCAGCTCAGCTTTCACGACGATTCCGCTTTGTGAATGCACATGGTGAAGAGCATCCGTCCCGATTTTCTTTTTCTTTTCCTTTGGCATTTTACGGACTGACACTGGGACAGACCGGCAGACTGACTTGGGGCGGGCCGGGGGCTGACACGGGGGCGGGCCGCCGTCAGCGTCTGCTGATGGATGTCGTGTCTCAGACCGGTGCCCGGAGCGACGCGTTAATCAAAACCGATCGACCCAGTACCCCCAGCTCGCCGCGGCGCTGCGGCTGTGGCGGCGGGCACGGCCCAGCGCGGCGGCCAGCACTGACAGCACAATTATGGTGGCTCCCAGAGCAATAACTTTTAGATATGTTCATACTTTCACGAACTCTCTTTGAGCTCGCCTCTGGTGCATTAGTTTTTCTCAAAGTGATTTATATGAAACAATATCCACGAATTTCTTATGTCCTTTCTTACATCAAAACTTCTCGTCGATTTCTGTAATCTCTTTCCTGGCTTGAAAAAAAATCGAATTATACCCTTAGTCTTCCTCTCGTCTCCCAAACATCGCGTTCCGACCTCTTAACTTCAAAACGTTAATCACAGGATCACACAGCTCCGATACCCGTCCCTGTGGACAGCGTCACGGGCGTGTTTCTGTTCCCGGCACTGGTGACTTGTTTATAAGGAGACCACTGTCCGTCGGTCGACTGCCGGCCAGACCCAGGGGTGCCGCTGGCGCGGCTGGGGGCCACAGGCAGCCCGCCCATCCCCAACACCGGGAGAGTGGCTCGGTGTCCCCATTCGCGCACCAATGGATGTCCGGACGTGGCCGCTGGGCTCCCATCCGGATTCTTGCGGACACGGACCGATAAAGGCACAAAAAACGGCCCCAGGGTGACCGAGATACAGCCACCAGAGAGCAGAGAGCTGGGGTGGGGAGGGTCCGGGGGAATCGCACCACGCCACAGCAGGCAACAGAGGGGGAGGGCAGCAGTTCATCGACCAGTGGGAGCAGCCGTACGCGAATAGGCGGACGTGGGATAACATAAGATGTGCATCACTCCCTTTCTTAGCCGTGCAAAATTCGTTGTTTTTTTTTTTAACGCGGTGGCAACATGATTCGTGTATGTTTCAATCAAACAGTAGGATATCATATGAGCGTTGAAACAACCTTATGTTTAAGGACACATCGAATCATAAATAAAGCTTTTGGTTCTTCTCTCATGATTACCGGTTTGTGCGAGGTCACATGAGGTATTATTATTATTATTATTATTATGTCAAACATCCACCAACCACAGAACAGTGGGCATTACGGTGGCATAGCACAAACAGACGCACACATGCATACAATTTCACACATATTCATATATGAACACTTAATCGACTAACACAATATTCGGCGCAGTGTGAAGCAATCCATACGCGAAGATATAAATAACCATGTGTCTCATGTATGACAATTAAACTGTGTGCTCCTTTGTTTGAAGATATTTAATCAATTCCTTTTTAGATGCACTTCTTATCTGTGTCGGCAAACTGTTCCACAATTTTGAACCCTGGTATGATAAGGAGCGTTTTAAGAAGTCAGTTTTAGGAGCAATAAGATCAAGGTTACAAGCCTGTCTCGTATTACGTTCCGATTTCCTGGTCCTAAAGAGGGATGAAAGTAACGGCGACATGGTTTCTGGATAGAGTAGGCACTGGCGAACAACGGTGAGGACAGCAATGTTGCATTCCAACTCGAGGTCACCGCGCCATGCAATATTTTGATGTTCTCTACCTGCGATGCGCCGCGCAAATTTGACAATTTTTGATATTCTCTTCCTCTGAGCCAGACCACATGTGCCCCAAAGAGACACACAGAAGCGAAGATGAGGAAGAACTAGAGCATTTATCAATAATACGATGGTTTTGGGAGGTAACACATGACGAAGGTGACTTAGGCGGATTAACATGCCTATACATCGGCCTACGACGCTGTCAATATGACTGCTCCAGGTGAAACAACTGTCTATTGTCACGCCTAGACTCACCAATGTACTTTTGACGGGTATCACAACATCAAAGATAGTAATGCTCCGCAAGTTGATTCGCCTCAAAATAGTTTTAGAGCCAAAAACAGCTACTTGTGATTTACTGACATTGATCGTCAGGCGATTTCGAGAGAACCATACACGAAGCCTGTTCAGCAATGTTTGAAGACGATTTATAATGTCATCAATGTCTTGAGGTTTACCTGAAACAATTATCTGAGTATCATCTGCGTATTGGACTAGGGAGCCCAAGTTATTGGCAACAGAAGTCATATCATTGACAAACAAATTGAACAACGTTGGGCCCAAGACACTGCCTTGCGGAACACCTGATGAGACCTTGCCTCTAAAATCATCACAGCCTCGAACATACTGACATCTCTCAGCAAGGTAGCTCTCAAACCAGGGGTGTTCAATTCCGTAATGAGAAAGTTTTTGAAGCAATATACTGTGATCAACAGAATCAAAGGCTCTGCTCAGATCTAATGACACCAAGATACATATTTTGCCGCTATCGATGGTGGACCGAATTGACTCTGTCAACGCAATGAGAGCATGGTTTACGGAATGACCAGGTCGGAATCCAAACTGCTCGTCCGATAACAGACAACAGTCTTCTAAATATGTCTTAAGCTGAAGTGAAACAACTCTTTCAAGAATCTTAGACACAACGTTTAACAGAGAAATCGGTCTGTAATTGCGCTATCTATAATTGCGCTATAATGCGCTATCATGTCCGTATATCGATTGAGCCTGGCTCTGTTACTTTGAGCCCCCTGTTATGAAGGCAAGATATGTACTTTCAACAGCACACTGAAAACAATTTAACCCAAGGCCGGCGAGTAAACCGGTGTTTCGCGGGTACCCCTATCCGCAACCATTTTTAACCACCCTCCCAGGAGTACAGTAAGGCCCCATTGCATTGTAGTTGTCCCTGCTCTCAGCGGACATGTTCGCTGACAGCGGTTATATCCGCTCAGAGCAAGTACGACTACACCGCAATGGGACCTAGCACTACTCGTGGGAGGGTGGTTAAAAATTGTTGCGGATAGGGGTACCCGTGAAACACTGGTTTACTCGCCGGCCTTGGGTTAAATTGTTTTCAGTGCAGGAGTCCGGTCACTGCGCTGCTGGCAATGCGGTAGCTATTACCGGCTGCTTGCTGCGGCTGGCCGGAAGTGGGGGAAGTTCCGGCGCACCGGCGGCGGATGCTGATCACTTCCGGTGGCCGCTGGCTGGTCACGGTCGGCTCGTATTGACCGTGCCGTCCGCCCCTCTCTGTCTGTGTCTCACATAACGTCCCTGGCTGTCGTGATGGTATGCGCTATGCATGTCTCACACTGCGCGCTCAGAGAACGGACGGGGCTCGCTGCGCAAAATAGCTCCTGAGAGAAAATGACGAAACTAGAAACTATGTCTTTTAGTGATGAGTGAATTTCAATGAATGAGCTCCGTCAGGCCTAATGTTGTGAACAGGTAACACGTTGTTAAATGCAACTCATGTCGTTTTTCCAAGGCTTAGAATAGGCCATTTGGGTAAACGGACCAGCTTTCAATACAGGTAGATATTTTGGGCTGAAGCTTAAGACCTCTTGCAAAGTTATAGAGCATATGTTTACCAAAATAAGACACATTCATAGAAAGGCGCAATGAAATGTCTAATATTGAAAACTATCCACATTCCTTGTTGCAATTACATTAGATTATTTGTATTACATTCATTTGGAATTTCTGTGAATCCAGCCATGAGATTACTGCCGTTTAAGACGATGTCACATCGCATGCCAGCGAGAAGCTGTATCTCTGCTAAGTATGAAACATATTATTTCCAAGAAGGCCGACATGACTGACAGTAGAAATGGGTTTCACCAGTCGCGTTTAGCGATTAGTATCCTGAAAAATCAAAATGGAATCAACCACAAGATATATTGAACCATCATACCATATCCCAAATGAATTATCGACACGCGCCTCACTGTAATACCTCAGATGCCAATGCTCTGTGACCTTATCTATACCTCCACCATTGTCCCCAATGACAGTCCTCCCCAATGACTCCTTTAGCCATACGCTCCCATGCGATGGCGGGCGCACGCAATGCAGCGCGGGCGATAGAATTCCGACCATCGCTTCCCGTCTCGCATTGTCCCGTCCCAGTAGAGTTCTGTGGAACCGCTGACATACCAGTGAACACCCAGTGGACACGTTTGTAGGTGGTACCCGATACGAACGGCCCGGGGGCGTTATGTAGGTCAAAGGTCACAGAGTCACCGAGCTGGCACGGAGCCAGCTGACCTCACGTGCACCGTTGGTACGAGGCGTGAGGTGTGAGCCGCTGCCGGCTAATGTGGATGCACCGGTAATGTGGATTAGCGATTCCATGGCACACCAATGTCACGTAAGCTTGGTGGCAGAAGTAAATAATGTGTCAGCTAGGAGTGCTTGTCATCCGCTGCCGTGTGCCGTGCATATGCAATAAGAGTAATTTGTAGCGGTATTTTAAAGGAAATAATTGAGGTACATCATATTTACAATAAGAAATAGGCATATCTTGCGATTTGAAAGACTCAACTGGCAAAAATGACATTAAATAGCAATTTTGATGCCATCGCCTGGCAGTGCGTTCCCAGTTTCTCAAACTAGATCATAGATGGCTCTGCGGTCTGTACGCCTGCTGGATGCTGCACCGCAATACTCACATAGATGACACAAGCCGCATTTAGCTCTAAAAGAGAGCAGGATCGTACACCGTCTCGGCGGACCGACTTGCCTGTGGGGCTGGTGGGTGAATTGTGCTAATAACGTGTGACGCAGAATCATATCGGGTGTGAGAACTGACCAAGCTCAGCAATTTAGCAGGGATTGTGCACTCTTGTAGTCCCGCCTTGCGTTGGTAATGAACGTATCGGAGTTGATCAGTGATAATGCAAGGTTGAATAGGTGGTCACTTACCAAGCCAACTATCTTTTTCAGGCACGAGAAGTTTTACACTTGCTGTGATGAGCCGTACCTGGACATAACGTTCAACATTACCATGAGGAGGAAGACGCTGTTCTACACGGTCAACCTCATCATCCCCTGCATGGGAATCTCATTTCTCACCGTTCTCACATTCTATCTGCCCTCCGACAGTGGAGAAAAGGTGAGAGGAAGAGGGAGAGGGGGAGGGAGAAAGAGGGAGAGAGAGAGGGGGAAGAGGAAGAGAGAGAGAGAGAGAGAGAGAGAGGGGGGAGCGAGAGAAAAGGATAACTAGCATTAGTGGCATATGGTACTGATGTTTAGTTGCATAAAGTAATTGTTACCACAAAGCCATGCAGATGCGGCAGGAACTTCATTTTCATCGTACATTCGTCAGTGTGAGAGGGATACGATCAGAAACATCATGTGTGGGTCGAATCCTGGTCTGAGACCTCATTGTTCCACTAGGTGGCAGTTCATTTGATTTCCATCACTGATGTAACTGAGAACATCTGACGTCACTGCCCCCAGGTGACGCTGTCCATCTCCATTCTCATCAGTCTGCACGTGTTCTTCCTGCTGGTCGTGGAGATCATCCCGCCGACGTCACTGGTCGTCCCGCTGCTCGGAAAATACCTCATATTCGCAATGATACTCGTATCAATAAGGTAGAGTAAAGTTCAACATAATTACTCGAATTTCTCAAAGAGCCTATCAGAGTGTTGTGATATAACTGACCATTGACCGACTTGGACTCAATCGACGAGTAGTTGGTACTCCGTTCATTATCATCTAAGCATGGGAATAAAGGGCCTCATAAAAGCCCTTTGGGTCATGAATTATGGTTTTTTGTAATAATAATATTCCCATTCTTACGTTTATTTCTAATTTCTTATGCTAAAAATCTACAATCAATACTGGCTGGAACGCAGTATGTTATAGAATTATTTTACCAAAATATTTGGTGGAGTAATTAACGTGTGTCTTTAATGGATCGATCGCAATTTGCATGGTTACGCTGCTTCCCGGCCGTGCCAGGTTACCTCATTACACTCCTCTGCTGTTTGTCTTGCAGCCGGCCTCATTAGTTTCACGGGGAGACGTGGACTGGGAAAATTAATGGATGTAGTTGGTCTGCCTATCGCATGCATAGAAAACTACATAATGAATGCCTGTATACGTATTTAACCCGGCGGCCGCTGGGCCTCCGCGCCACCCGCCGGCCGCTGGGGGGGGGGGCATATAGTTGCCCCCCCCTTAACTTCCGCGGCGATATCGTCGCAACGCGAAGAGATAGAGAAGCGAAACTTTGCACACATCTTTCTGAATACCTAGCCGAGGTTGTGTCCAAATTTGGTGTCGATCCCATTTGAAATGACGTCACAGTGACGTCATAAGTCAAATTATAGATTTGCGACTCTCAGTTTCCTCACGATACATCAGGTATATGGGACCGAATATAAAGGGCCGATTATTGGTTAGCAACTAGATGGAAGTGTACTTAGATGTTTTAGGATGACAGCAGGTGCTGTCTACTTCATTTACAGTTGAGTTTCATGCTCAGCGTCATCAGAAACGGTCCATATCGGAAAACGACAAAACTTTATGACGTCACTGTGACGTCATCTTAGATGCTACAACCACCAAACTTTCTTCAAACATTGCCTAGGTATTCATTTGAAGCTATGCCAAGTTTCACGTTCGTAGCTCATCAGGTTTCGGAGATATTCCACAAAACGTAAAGGGGGGCAACTTTATGCCCCCCCCCCAGCGGCTCGTGGGTTAAGGAGAGATTAGTCACTAAAAGAATAAAAAAAACGCGAAAAAACTTGAAGTGAACCATTTATTGCATAATATACTTGCATCACAAAGTTTTGGAAGGAAATGCGCTGTGGCAAGTGCCGATATGTATGTTATGCACCGGGAGTTACGTTATTAACCCGCGCCCCACTGGGGTCTGTGTATAACACGCCCTACTGGGGGGGGGGGGGGGCTATTCATAGCCCCCCCTCCTAACTCCGAAACTACTGGGCCGATCGTCAAAATTCAAACGGCGTCTGATAGCCCCGGAAAAACTGTCGAACGAAACCTAATTTCATTGACCTCGAGGTCACCGATGACGTCACAGGTCAGGTCAAAGTAAAAATTATTAGCACTTTGGCTTGTTCACATTTTGGGCTCTGGCCGCCGTCTTACAAGTCAGATCAGGCTCATTTTTGGTTTCCACACTCGTGAACAGATGCTCTAGATACCTTGCGGGTACCAAACTTGTACTTTGATTTTCAGGTCAGGGTCAGGTCATCACAGGTCACGAAAATATTATATCATGCGTCGGTCACGTGACACATGTTTTATGGTCCATTTAGGCCATAGATTTCGAATTTGATGTCGTCTATGTCATTCGAGGTCATTTTGAGTCGAATTTAGCTTAGGTCAGGTCACTTTCAGGTCAAAAAAGGTCAAATTTTGAAGTTGAAATTTTTCAACAAAAATGGTGTCTATTGGATGCAGTTTGAGCTCAGGAACACGATGGTGCCATTTATATTGGTGTACGATGCCAAATACGTACTGAAAAATTGATTTGAAAAATTAATAATTGTGAATTTTTTGCAATAATGCGTATAACTTGGCCATTTTTGAAGATATTTAGCTAAAACTTGCTAGAGGTAGTCATAATAATGACTTCTATCACATATATTCCGTTTTTTTCGAAAAGTCAAAAATTTTTGAAAAAAATGTAAAAATAAAAATTTTGAATTTTATTATTTGAAATTTTCGAAATTTTCAAAATTTCGAAAATCCGAGATAGCAGTTTGATAGCGCAGTCTATTCTGAGTCCTCTCATGCAAAGAAATTGGATCTAGCTTAAAAACTGAGCTCTTGGGAGCGATTGCCGTGGTTCAATGTTTTGCGTCGAAATCGGACGAACATGACGTCACTCTGACGTCATTTCCGGCCGACCTATAGTAGCTACGAAGTTCAAATTAGGTGTCAAATTGATGCAGCCGAAGGTACTGAAAGTTTGGCGTCGATCCGTCAAGCGGTTTGGAAGTTATTGCAGAAAAACGGGAGGGGGGCTATAAATAGCCCGACACTGTCATTTCGCTCACATTGCCCGAGACGCATTGGATTGCTGCTTATGAAACAAAGTAACAAAACTGCGGGCGATAAGCTGCAGTTTACAGCTGCCGGTCGCCCCGTCCTGTCGTGGGAACAGTTTCATGTGGACATTACCAGGCCTGCAAACCCCTCCTTGTCCCGCTGGCCCGGCAGCGTGTAGGCTATTACTCGGCGCCTCGGGATTTAGGAGAATTGCCTGTCAAAGGCGGACCGGCCGATTTCCGCGCTGTTCTATTGTTGCCACTGGTCGTATATCAGACAGTTATCCGCGATGGCAGCGGGAGTTTGGGCCAGTGGAATGGGACCGTTGCCAAGCGCACAACATAGTTGGGGTTATGGTTGACCCCGTTGCGAATGTGACCATCCAGCTGGCTGTTAATGTCGTAAATTATGATCGAGATGGGAACAAAAGCCGATAGGGGATGACGCCTTTGAGTGTTATTTACGGTCGGGATGACATATGACATAACTATGAGTATAAACGGAGTATGGTAAGATTTGTGAACGAAAATGTTACCAAGACCTTGGGCACTTTGTCAAAACTTGCTAGCGGTTGATTACTGACCCGTGAGCAGTGTGCTGTATCATAAGAGCTGAGGCTTTGGAAGAAAACAGATGGGTAGCAAAGTGAATTTAAACATAAGTTCCTCTTTGCCGAAGTGCACCGTTAAAATATCATGTTGAAGAGTCAATTCTCCGTGCACCAATTAGTATCTATGTAGTTTACGTAGTTATGGCCCTCTGTCTGCTCTGCAGTGCTGAGTTGACGCCATTCCTTCTGTGTCCTGTTGCAGTATCGTGGTGACCGTGCTGGTGCTGAACGTGCACTGGCGGTCACCGCAGACCCACCGAATGGCGCCCTGGGTGCGGAGGCTCTTCATCCAGCTGCTGCCCCGCCTGCTGGTCATGCGGCGACCGCGGAAACCTCCCAAAAGGTCGGGTCACCCCTCCCCGCTCCTCTCCTCTCCTCTCCCTCAGCTCACGGAGTGGGCTTTGTAAGCTCAACAAGGCTTAATAAGCCATCTGATTGGTCGTTTGGCGGCCATCGGAACCTGGAAATGTGCATTGAGCGCCATAATAATGCAATAGCAATGCTACGGTCTGCCGCTCGATGCTATCACAGGAAATGAAAGATGAAAGGAAATGGGGTCATCACCTAGCCGTGAAATACGACCTATACTTCAAAAAGAAATGTCCGCTCGGCTGAGAAGTGAGACATATATATATATGGTGATGGGAATGCGGCAACTTTGGGCATTGTTGCAAGGATAAGATCGATGCTTGATGTTATTCCTTACTGAAATATCTTCATAAGCGCACATTACTCCGTAATCATGAGCATCCTTTCTTTAGTTATTTATACAGTTGTACCACTCTCATATCAGATGATTTATTGAATGCTTCAAAGTATGGGCGTGCTGAAGTGCTCCAGAATCACGCTTTATTGCTTACCAGCTGTGCAGATCATTGTTTTTCCCTCAGGCGATATATGAGGCACAATTACACCATGATGGCAGAGGCCGGCTGCAAATCAGTTCTATTCTCGGCAACGAAATTGTATTGCAGGCGCCCCATATGGTTCCGGAAATGCAATAGGGCTGTTTGTTTAGCAGCCTGTAAACTGTTTTTTTTTATATGTTCCTTATTCACCTGAAGGGTCTCTCCTGAAGGGCTATCGCTCCTCATTTGTAGCAGTCTCGCCACTTCACATCTTGTCTTGTTTCCATTTCTCTTAGTTCCGAGTATGTCGTGCGCAAGACGTTTTTTGGATTGCAAGTTACAACAAACACATACAAACGACCATTGACAATGCTCCTGGGAACGCGTGGTTGTCAGTGACTTTGCAGTTGGTGCTTCTGACCGTGGGAGCTCGCCCGTTTCCAGCGGCTGGCGGCCGGGGGAGCCTCTGCCCGGCTGTAGCTCGGTGCGGAACTCATCCACCGGTAACCTGACGGGCTCTCAGTCGCTCTCCTCCGTCGAGGGGATTCAACTGTGCGCAGAGAGGTGAGGGCCCCAGCGATAGTAGGGGCGCTGTGTATGAGTATGGTGTATAATACAAATAATGTTTCAAATGTCGTAGAACATTGAAAAACGTTGAAAAATACTTTAAAGAAAGACATTGCTGACGGATACTATTGCGAATCTTGTCTTTGGGCTTTGTTTACATTCAGGCTCGTTTACTTTTGGAGAGTTTCAGAGAATAGGATGAACTCTTGCAGATAAAAAGCCGTTCACGACTCCCTTTCTTGAAGTTGTTATCTGCTCCATTGTGATTTGACTTGGACTTTTCTTGTGAATAGTTGCCTTCCTCGTTGATTTTTTTTTTTCATGTGACTGTGGCCCACGTATGCCAAATAAAACACTTGTCATGGTGTGTTTAACTTCCCGCTTTGTATATTAAAACGCTTACTGTGCACATTGCATTCACCCCATTACCCACACGAGTGTTGTTTTCCCCACAGGCACTATTCAGAGTCGGTCATCAACCCGTCGTGCCAGGTGCACGGCGGAGAGGCGAGCGACTGGAGCCCCCTCTGTGACCGGGTGCCTGTTCTCGGTAACCGGTCGCGCCTCGGGCTGGCCGGCTGCTCACAGGAGATCCATCGGGTCAGCTGGTGTGTCAACTTTATCGCCGAGAACACCAAGAACAAGGAAGATCAGCTGGCTGTGAGTTATTAGTGTGATGGGCGTCAAAGGTCATCTGCATGTGTAAGGAGCGGGGAGCTTATTTCTATCGCATTTCATTATTTCAGTCCTGGTTGGTGGTGACCGTCCAGACAGGACCGCAAGGGGTCCGGTGGTCACGACAGTAAACGGAAGAATCGTGATATCCTATAAGCGCTTATGTCAGCTTAAAAATGGGGACCACCAGTGTAAAGGTGGAAAGTTATAGCGTAAGTGTGCGTAAGAGGAATATTTACGTGTGCTCACCCCTGACCGCTGGATAACCTCCCCCGTCTTTCCTTCCGCAGGTGCGCGAGGACTGGAAGTACGTGGCGATGGTGCTGGACCGGCTGTTCCTCTGGGTGTTTCTGCTGGCTGTGGTGGTCGGCACGGCTGGTATCATCCTCCAGGCGCCGTCTCTGTACGACGACCGGGTCGCACTCGACCTCAAATACTCAGAGATTGGGCGGTTCCGGCGGAGAAAGTGAGATGACAGCGCCACTGGCGGACGATATAGGAAGCTGTGCTTTGTGCTGGCGCTCGTCAAGGGATATGGCGATGGTTGTTGAGGTGCAGCGTAGGACTGAAAATGGTCTGTGAATTGTGACAAGAGTAGGTTTATGAGTGAGGTTATGCATGCCAGTGCTCGTGATTGGACTGGATACTTTATTGATGAATAGCAATTTGATGAAGTCAGCAATGACACCTTTGTTATTCCTGCATGTAGCGAAAACAAAACTTTGTGTGGGCAAGGAGACACGAGAGTGTTATGGACGTAACTTGCCGGTGTATATTAACATGGTCATAATTATCCTATTTATATTGTATAATTACTGGGATATACGGTACAACTAGTAGTCATATAATATCAAATTTACTTCAAAAAAAGCATTTGCATGAAGTGCACCGACAACAATTCGCAGGTTATCCCTTCTCTGTCAGTTACTTAGGTATGCATTTATACCGATAAATTATTTATATGTTTACTATAAATTGTTCACGGTTGATGTTTTTAGCAGGGTATAAACTATAGACATTCATTGCAATTTAGGCACAGGAGCATTTACTCAATCGATACTATACATGTTGATTTTGTTATAAATTCATCACCGGTTTGACGTTTACACCTTCTTGGGCATGAAGTCAAGCGCGTTTTGTCAACATGTCTCAGCTGAGATAGCGCGAAATGCCTGTGGAGTTTTCCGTGAATTGCAGATATTATTATTTTTAGACTGCCAACCTGTCTAGCATTCGTGATACACAAATAATTCATTTCAAGCATTCCGAAGGATGGTTCCCATGGACTTGTACAGCCCACCGATAAAGTAATGTGTGGTTTTACCAATCTCAACGGATGGCTTTGACCGACTATTTTTAAATGCGGACTGATTGAAAAGAAGACGTCAATAGATAACGTTGTAGCTGGCAGCTGCAAGGGTGAAGATACATTAAGCAACATTTAAAGTCTCGTTGCAGTCTGGCTGATCGTTCCTAGGCTTCAGAAGCAGAACATACCCATGACTGAAACCACACATTACTTCTGCTGTGGACTGTACCATGTCAGTCACTCCCCGTTCATTTCTACGCGTGTTGAAATGTGCTCAAATGTCCATGTATCCATAGGAGTCAGAGATTCGAGACCCTATCAATCTTCCCACCATCAATACAGTGCAGCGCTGAGGGCGCAACACCTGTCGAGAGGTTGGCAAGCATGGTATCTGAAACTCACGCTAGCATTAGTCCCTCGTGGTATGGCCGTCTTTCGAGCGTGTCGTCCCACCACATTGATATGCGTCGCTACGGTGACGCGTTGTGACGCTGTGCGCCGCTACTGTGGCAAGTTGTGACGCTGCGTACCACTGCTGTGACGCACTGTGACACTGTGCGGCCATGGTGGCGCCGTCACTGCGTTACGTCTGTGTGACGCAAGTATTCATTGCGAAAATGTGACGTCTGCTCCCGTGATGCGTCTCAGTAGAGAGAATGTTATGCGTTCAATGAACGTTTGCGAGGATAGATGAGTAACGGATCCGACGCATGACAATAAACTGACAAGTGACAATGCCTTGCAATGTTGGAAGCTTGATAGAAAAGAAGGCTACTATGCTGTTCTAAACGAAAGTGTTATATCTGAAGCACACTAACCAAGCAGGAAGGAAAAGGCGGGCACGATAGGCCTTTTTGCCTTTTTCTACGGCACATTTGTGTCTTGTTTGAAAACGGCCGATCTTCTGCATGCGACAAAGACTTCTTAGGATTTGGTTTATTTTATGTTTTGTGGCCTACGTAATGTTCCGGCTCATTATAACGATAGACAAAAGGCAAATGTTTGCTCAAGTCTAGTCCAAACATGACCAATAATATTAGGACAATAACACTTCATTAAAAACTTTTATTCTCACATAACAATCAGGAAGTAATAGTCATATGGTCGCATTTAATCAGGCGCTACAAATTGCCGACAATCCAAGAGTGACGTTTGCACTACCTCCACGCTCAGGTTGAAGGTAGGTATGTACTTTCTGCAACAGTCACACACATAAATCATTGGCCCTTGCTCAGTTTATGCCGGGAGTATGCATGCCCCTATAAGTGTCAGCTCGAGCCCCGTGCCATTACGTTATTTTATTACAACTGTAGAGCGAATCGTGATAAAAAGAAGACACCAAAAAAATGGGTAACGTATAGCTAAAGAGGACAAAAGAAAGGTCCACCTACGTGAGCAATTTACGCACACTAGAACGCACCACAGTAGTCAAACACCTCAGATATTGTACCACACTCTGACGCGCAGACATATTTCACATTAAAATTCACCTCTACCCCATGTGTCACTCACATCATTTCAACAACCGCAGGGCAACGAAATAGCACGTAAATCTTCAGTGCTTATTTTCTTCAATTGGCATGGTAGTCGAGTGAGATAGCCAGCGAGGGCTATGCCTTTAAATTAAATCGGGGTACGGATGAGATAGTTATAATAGATATCGTTAAAATGGTGTTCACGGAACAGCGAAGCTGCTTGTCAAGTATTACATCGGTATGTTTTTTTTTTAAATTCAATATTCAAAGAGCAAACCAATTCGAAACAGCTGAATGTTTCAGACCATTTAGAAGAAAGTTGTGTATTAAATCGCTTTTGTGAAGATTGGTAATGGTATGGCATCATTATTTACGCCAACGTACGCTAAACTTGACAACTCTTCCACAGAATAAGGGGCCGAAGCATCACACGCTGATTGCTGTTGTTATTACTTAAGTTGACTGATTTTCTCGGAGCTGAACAATCTCTATGGGTTCAAGGCAAACATCAAGCTTCCTAAACAGGTCAGAGATCTAATCAAAATTTCCCAGAACAAAATTACATGTCACTCTGTAGCTTCACTAAGCACTCGTTCTCATTGATCTACGCCCTATTCGAAATGGTGCCCATCCCATAAAAACCGGCACACCGTTTATTGAGCAGTGAGCAGTTGTGCGTCCCTCGGAGACGCCCGAGTTGTGCTGCCACGCTGGTGCAGACGAGGACAGCGTGTGACCTATGCCGGTCAAAGGTCAGCGTAGTGACCTCCTTTGGGCCAGGTCAGCATCTAGCGACCACGACAGGTCAAAGGTCATCTCTCAAGAAACTGTAGTTGTGCACAGGAGTCGGTAACTAGCCCTCGCCCTGGCAGGGCATTTTTCATAACACGGCCTGGCAGGGGGGGGGGGTCGATGCGACCCCCCCCTCGCGATTGGCTCCTATGGCACCTAGAAACACCAAATTCGGTAGGTAGGTGGGCCCCCTGGAGTTCTCGCCCCTGTGCAAATTTGGTTGCTCTAGGTCAATATTTAGGGGGGTTTTGGGGGGTATAAATGTAAAAATTTCGCTAAAAACAGGTCAAAAGTTTTTCGCTTATAACTTTTGATCTAATTAAGATAAAGCAAAAAGAAAAGCACCAGTGAACTCAGCACGTCAAGGCGCGTCGAATGATATACTTTTTATCTTGCTTTAGTGTACATAAAGTTTTTCTTAAATTTTAAGTAAACTTAAATTAATAAATTAAGTTAAAGTTAACCAAATTGCATCATATCGCATATCATTCGATTCGGCTGATCACCAGGAACACAATGGTACCATTTTTTAAGCTCTAGCGTCATTATGTGCCAAGTTATTGGCAAAAACGTCATTTGACCTCAGTTGACCTCATTTGACCTGACCCATGGATAAGTACACCAAACAAAGAAGCACCAAGTGACCTGCTGTTGAGTACTGTGGTTTCAAAGCACAAAGTGATAGAACGAAGCGGATATCTCCAGTATTTTCCGAATTTAGTATTTTCCCATAGGCTTAACATTACGACGTAATGACCTCTAACTGACCTCAGGTCAGTGACCTCAAAAAACCCGAACTATATGTTATACAACTCGGTGAACTTAGCACATCCTGAAAGTTTGAAGGAAATCAGTGCAAAACTGTGAGTTGGACAGGTGCAAAAAGAAATTTGAAATTTGACCATGACCTTGTACCGGTTTTTCTGACCTGGTGACCTGACCTAAGGTCACCCGGACCTGAAATTTTCAGGTCATATGTAAAAAGGTTGCCCCATAGGCTGTGCCACGCTATCTTCGAAAAACCTTAGGGGGGGTCGCATCGACCCCCCCCCCCCTGCCAGGGCGAGGGCTAGGCGACATGCAACACAAGATGGCGATGTTCTCAACCAGACGTCCGACCAGGAAGGCCGTACATTTGAGAGGGCGCCACCTCCGATGCCATCTGTTCGATACCGATTATAAGGATTTTCACAGTCACCGGCTTCAATGGAGAAAAATGCAGCAAGGCTGCCTGCAGCATCTTTCAGCCAATGGTAGATTCATAATTCTGTATCGTTCGTTTTACATCACGCATCCCACTTGATTATCCAACAAAACATCTAGCAGCAAGCACATCAAAAGTTGGTCACTTATTGACGTGAACAATGACAAAATCTATATCCTTGACTAAATTGGCACCATCTTACTTAACTGCATACATATACACAGTATCAAACATCTTTGAGCAAACAAATGAATCTGCTAACATGCTATTTCTACCTTCAAATAAGAATAAAGTCGCATACTGTATACATCAGTCAATATCAAGTGCCAGCCATGAGATCCCCACAATTCGCGAGATCGGTCGCAACCTTCCAACAAACCCAAACTTGGGCAATGTACGTGCGCCTTTGCTCCTGACCTTTCTCACGAATGTGACTAGTTCGCAACAGTGCTCTGAAATGACAATGTTCACATCGTCCGGCCCAAACTAGACTTCCGTACTTTGAACACGTTGAAACTTCAGCCAGAACGGACAATGCTCCATCGCCTTTTCACACTTCCAGCACGGGTGGTCTCCACTTCGTCTCGGCCAAGGTACAGCCCACCGCTAAAGTAATGTAGGGTTTTACCAATCTCAACGGTTGGCGTTGACTGGCGATTGTTTAATGCGGAGTGATCGAAAAGAAGATGTCAATAGCTAAAGTTGCAGCTGCAAGGGTGACGATACATATAAGCTACATTCAAAGTTTCATTGTAGTCTGGTTAATCGTTCCTAAGCTTCAGAAGCAGAACATACCCATGACTGAAACCCCACATTACTTCTGCTGTGGACTGTACATGAACTGGGCATCAGCAGTGCCATCGGTGGCTGTTTCATCCCACACCATCCCAAATGGCGACACGGAAAGCCACAGCTCGGCACGGGAGCTCCACGTTATACACGTGTGTGCGCCATCCAATGTCTCGTTAACCGTGAAAACGCAGATTCCAAGCCCACGCATCACTACCAAATATCTCGCCAGCTTACGTCCGGCTCTGTACACCGTCACAAAAAGTCCGGTTCATCCGCAAGTAGGACTGAGCACAACAACAGACGGTCATCACCGACAGAGCACCAGGGAGCCGTCAGCAACAGAGCACCAACAGAGCACCAGGGGCCGTCACCAACATAGCACCAAAGGACCGCCCGTAACCAACGCTCGCAGGAAGCACCAGTCAACCGGCCGCGGTTGCAGCCTAGTGGTGCCCTCTCTGCCGGTCGCGGGGGCTTTTAATGTCACTGAGCTCTTCGTCAATAGGCCTGCGATCGTCATAAAGAGTCGGTGCCTGTAGGATGATGCCGGCCGTCCCCACCAGCACTGCCAGCGTGAAGATCCAGAGAAACAGCCGGTCCAGAACCATGGCTACGTACTTCCAGTCCTCGCGCACCTGTGGAGTAGGACGGTTGTGTCAGATGAGAGAAAACCTCAGGGTACCTATAGGGGTAACGCCACGGACGTAACCTTGAGGCCAGCGTGGAGACACAACTTACCGATAAATGGTATAGATGTGAGTGGTTGTTTTGTCTTCCGAGAACATTTGTAAACGCAAACGACTTATGTAACAGGTGTGACTTGCATGATAACCTTGTTGCTTAACCCGCGCCCCACTGGGGGGGGGGGGGCTATTTATAGCCCCCCCCCCCTCCCGTTTTTCTGCAATAACTTCCAAACCGCTTGACGTATCGACGCCAAACTTTCAGTACCTTCGGCTGCATCAATTTGACACCTTGTGTAAAAATTTGAACATCGTACCTACTATAGGTCGGCCGGAAATGACGTCAGAGTGACGTCATGTTCGGCCGATTTCGACGCAAAACATTGAACCACGGCAATCGCTCCCAAGAGCTCAGTTTTTAAGCTAGATCCAATTTCTTTGCATGAGAGGACTCAGAATAGACTGCGCTATCAAACTGCTATCTCGGATTTTCGAAATTTTGAAAATTTCTAAAATTTTAAATAATAAAATTCAAAATTTAAATTTTTACATTTTTTTTCAAAAAGTTTTGACTTTTCGAAAAAAAACCGGAATATATGTGATAGAACGCATTATTATGACTACCTCTAGCAAGTTTTAGCTAAATATCTTCAAAAATGGCCAAGTTATACGCATTATTGCAAAAAATTAACAATTATTAATTTTTCAAATCAATTTTTCAGCACGATTTTGACATCGTACGCCAATATAGATAGCACCATCGTGTTCCTGAGCTCAAACTGCATCGAATAGACACCTTTTTTGTTGAAAAATTTTAACTTCAAAATTTGACCTTTTTTGACCTGAAAGTGACCTGACCTAAGCTAAATTTGACTCAAAATGACCTCGCATGACACAGACGACATCAAATTCGAAATGTTTGGCCTAAATGAACCATAAAACATGTGTCACGTGACCGACGGATGATATAATATTTTCGTGACCTGTGATGACCTGACCTTGACCTGAAAATCAAAGTACAAGTTTGGTACCCCCAGAGTATCTAGAGCATCTGTTCACGAGTGTGTGAACCAAAAATGAACCTGATCTGACTTGTAAGACGGCGGCCAGAGCCCAAAACGTGAAGAAGCCAAAATGCTAATAATTTTACTGTGACCTGACCTGTGACGTCATCAGTGACCTCGAGGTCAATAAAATTAGGTTTCGCTCGACAGTTTTTCCGGGGCTATCAGACGCCGCTTGAATTTTGACGATCGGCCCAGTAGTTTCGGAGTTAGGAGGGGGGGCTATTAATAGCCCCCCCCCCCCCCCCAGTAGGGCGTGTTATACGCAGACCCCAGTGGGGCGCGGGTTAAATAGTGAAACGTTGAAGGCATATATGGTTGAATTTTTCGTCAGCTCGGAGAAATAATTCGATTTCTTACAATGCTGCTTGAAATGTGTGCATATGTTTTGCAACACCTTAAAAAGGACGCTTTGAATAATCCAATTTGGCGTGCTCGCAAATGTTCAAAGGTCATCAAATAAAAATTCAGAGGATGGCGGACAGCTTAATGCGTTTATAATCGGATCACTTAGCTGACGACGAGACTGCCACAACAAATAGCGGCTTTTGGAGCTCGCGGCTTTTTCAACTGTTGTAGGGCATCAGGTGAAACATGTAAGCAGAATGAGGTCGTACCGTTGCTGTAAGCGAAAGAGAGTATCATTTCCCGTGACGCACAAAAAAAACTAACAGAACACAAATAGTTTGGTCACTTACTTTGTAATAAGTCCTCGCAACGAATAATTAGCAACAACTCTAATTTACTCGCCCTGTAACTTACAAAGATATATAGGAATGTCGGAAAGACTAGCTAATCTGCCCAGCAACGGCTAGAATTCCAACTGCCTGGGTTGAGAGAGTCCGACCACCTGACCCACTTCAAACGGTCACGGGCAACGCGCGTCTTCATTAGTGCCATGGAGCGAAACGAGACTGCAGCTTCAGCCCGCACTCGTTTGGACCCAACGCGTGAGGGCAGAGACGCTACGTGCCACCACGTCTCACGTCTGTTCAGGAGACAGGAGCGCCGCTGCCTGCTGAAGTGGTCTGGACTCTGGTGGTTTGGACTATTGTAATACCTCTCAGACTTGAGAGGTACGAGTCTGCTAGTAGGACAAAGCGCGCCTGAACCCATCCCAAAAAACGGCGCATCATAGACAAAGCCAAGCCGGCACAGAGCCGGCGGCAAAAGCGGCGCACCAGCAGCGACCAGATGAGACCTAGACGAACGGACTGGGTGGGATGGTAATAGCGTCTCCACCGGAACAAATTCATAGGTCTGCCGCACGGAGCGGCGAAACGGCACCACTTTAAACGCTGCGCTCAGCCGGCCGGAACGGCGCAGATAATGGCCAAACTTTGTCCTCGTGACATCTATTAGGCAATATATGGTGAATTATTGCAGCGGCATGCTTTTCCAACCAAGAGTTATGCGCAAAAGTGCCGGGCATATGTGGGTGACATCAGAATACAATATGGGTGACGTCCAAATAAAACACTTATCTATGTAGATAACTTGCTGATATTCTACGTATCATTCATAACAAAACATATATCTACGAGCATAACAATTATCATTTACCTTGGATACCTGTACCATCATGATAATAAGGTGCGAGCTATCGAAATAAATCTTGTCCGAAAAAAAGATAGCCGATGCTAGTCCTAGCGTCACAGCAAAACAAGTACTTGAAGTTAGCAATAGAAACACTGCAAAAACAGCAGCCTTGGTGACGTTAACCTCCTGTCTGTCTGTTCTATCCATATACCGACACGGCGCTTACTCTGGTGGTATCCTGTTCACGCCTTGTGCTCTCCGCGATAAACTTGACGCCCTCGAAGGCGCGGAACACCTCTGGACAGTAGCCCAGCTCACAGGAGCGGTGCCGGTGACCTCCGAGACCCTCTCCGGCCGAGCCGGGGTTGCCATGGATACGGCAGGGCGTGTTCAGACCCAGGGCGTCCAGGTCACTCCTGAAGAGAGGGGGGAGGTAGGGGCATCGGGGAAGACAGTAAAGTAACTATCAGTGGAGAAGCAAGATATACACCACAAGCTCAGCTCAATGTGCTGACTGCTGAGCTTAGCTTACAACAGAAGCACGATGCTAAGTATAAACTTGTTTACGACGCATACGGCTTTCAACACCTAGATTATGTCAAACTCTGTAAATATAACTTAGCAAAGCAGCTGAAGTACGGTAAACAACAGCCCAGGGGGTATGGAGCTATGCAGAGTGATATAAATATTACTGGCTCAAATTTAGGGGCAATATCTGACACCGAAAATAACAAAGTTGATGACGCGCTGTAGAGCGAAATAAGGCGAGTCTTGGAAAAAATATAATATTTTAATTGGAAAATAAGCAATACAACAGCCAACTATCTTGTTTTTTACGCAAAACCATCGTTGGGTTTCTGCTCAGCACTTTGAAGTAGCATGCTGTGTTTCATTTAGATTACCTGACGCAGCTACATCCTGGCCAAAACAGGCCACCAGAAACTTTATCCGACTAGGGATGCCAAAAACACCGCTCAAAGTTGAAGAGGAACAGATCGCCAACTTGCAGGATTGGGCAGAGTTTGTCGGTTCTCTTTATTGGTCACGATATGAGTCTGAAGACAAAAACAAAATTAGAAACGAGCGAGATGACAACACTGTGGCAAGCCGACACCAGGCCTTAGGGAACTGATTCACTGACATTTCACTGCATCTACTGTGAAGTAAAATTGGAAATGTTTGGAAAGGATTATAATTGAAGAAGTCGCCCAGAACTTGATGAAGGGGCTATTTCCATAGCATCGTCCTACAGCCGTTTATACTTGCCGGCAAACGACAGATGAACAATGCTTCAGCCGCCCATCGCTCGGTCATCAGACGGACCATTACCAGTCATTCAGGCGTCATTCGGTGGCCATATCGCGGCCAGCCACTCGTATACCGCCCGCGACCGGATTGGCGCAGCGCTCAGTTGAAGCCGCTAAATCGACAGGGGCGCTGTCCATGCAGGATCACCGGCAGCTATGGATACCGTCCAGTCCGGAATGCGTGAGCGGAAAACGACGCACGGCGAGGCTCTCTGATGGCGAACGGCCGCCAGAGCGCCGGCTGATGGCCGTCGTTAGCCGAAATTGGTGGAGCCGTGTCGGCCCGGCCGGCCGGAGCAGCGGAGAGTTTTGGATGAGGCCCGACCGACGCTCCGCCATGGCCGCCAGGAACGATGAGGTCCGACGTAGATAATGGAAACTTCATCGTCGAGCGCCGCCGGGCCCGCGTCGGCCCGCGACTGGAGCTCCATGATGCGGCGTCGGTCTCAGAAAAACGAGCGAAACGAGAGAGGCAGCGCAGTATTTTCTGAGCCAGACGAGGCGCTAGGTAAAGTCTATATAGCCTTGGGTAAACTGTTGAATGACGTGACAGACACTTTTATTTGTCTGTGCCAGGTCACGCACTTAGCGGCAGGAATAATGACGGCTGGATTGTGACGCTTGGCGATTCTCTTATTAGTCTAGCTCGATTACATTGCCATCTTGGTCAAATTCCAAAAGCTCATTCGCAAAGTACACCATGTCGAAGTGTTAACTGCGGTCTGCGTTGGCATGAGCTAGGTTCTGACCTTACACATTCTTACCTATCCTACACTACCCTGACCTGACCTGACATCGACTGACCTGGGCGCCAGGTCACTGATGGTGGCCGTGGGTGGAAAGCAGAGGCCGTGGTCCTTGAGTGACTCGCTGGTGAAGCCGGACGCTCTGCTGTGAGCGTCCTTGTAGAGCTGGGTGGCTGCCTCGCGCACCTCCAGACCGTTACAGGTGCGAATCAACACCCTGGTGGAGGGAGGCGTGGGTCAGACGCACAGACCGTAGCCTCTGATAACAAAGTGCAGTCTGCAACGTGTTACGTAATTAGCTATATGCCATATGTATTATGTATGCCTAGAAGGCCGTATAACTAGACAAAAGCAAATTACAAAAAAAGGAAAACACAGAAACGCTACAATAATAACCATATGAGAAATAACTTATGATTTCTTGGGTTTCTCTTCCGATGATGTATGGGTCAATGGGTAAGTCGGTATGACTGCGCATTCATGTATCGGAAACAACATATTGGAAATGTCCGCCGCCAGAGCAGACATAATTCGGTTAGAGAGAGCAGCAATAAATTCAAAGTACCAGACTTCGCCGTCGATCCAAATCGGATGTGGATGTCCTGTTGCCGAGTACCGAATCAAACTATATATTATAAAGTATTTACTATTGCCTATTACATGTAGTGTTCGATTGTTATTTTAGACAACCGGAGGCGTCTTGCACCAAAATCCTCTTGCACCAATGCTTGGATTATTTTGCATCGTATACCCAGTCTCAAATGTAACAATTTGCATGCAAAATTTTGCAAGCACATGTAGGATTATGTATTGGGCTATTGCAAACAAATTTACCACCGTTAGATTAGCTTATTCTGAAACCGGTTTTTTCGATTTTACCTAGCTTGGTAGTTTGGTGCAAGAGGCCTCAGGTCTAACGAACCGTTTGAGGTATAGCCTTCTCCAATATCATTGCGAGGTTCTGAGTCGTGTAACTGTGATATACAATAGTGGACCTCACAAAAAATCAAACTGAATGACTGATGAATTTGGGTCCTACGGAAAGCATGCGACCACTGACCAGCTTCCGCGTACAGCGTGGCGGCGTGAGGTGTCTAGTGCTACAAATGCTGTGCCGCAGAGCTGTGAAGTTATGCGGCGCAGCCTATCTAGCAGTGGTGGCCGTCCGTACTGGCTACAAGAACAAAGGAGCTACAACACTTCGGGGCTATTAGCTAAGTGCGCTTTTTATGCTACTAATATTAATTTAATACTTGAATAAACACATTCCTTTCTTAAACTGATCAGTCAATCTGTTTATAAATCGGAATGCTGCAGGCACACCTGAACCGCCGTAGCCCGCCAACAAGCACAGACTTTGAGCCGCTAGTTTTGTTAAATATTTTTGTTTGCCACTGGACTTGGTCAATCTGAGGAGAAAATTGGAGCGCTTTGTGAGATAGACTCTCATACAAAGAAAAGTGGACAGGGACACGGCTTTAGGTGTTGACGAACGCAATTCACAATAGGAAGTAGGCAGCAAAAGCCGTTTTCAAAGGCCAATGGTATTCGCCAATGATATACCTATTAAGAGCTGTCATAACCCTCGCCGGCACAGGGGGGGGGGGGTTGATGCACCCCCCTAAGGTTTTTCGCGAATAACTCGCGTAAAAAGCGGCCGATCGCGACGAAACTTTCAGTACCCTCGCATTAATCAATTCTACACCTACCCTGAAAATTTCATGACCCTGACCCCAATGACCTTTGACCTGTGACCTCTTTTCCGTGACCATGTTTGGCCGAAATCGCGATTCGGCGTATGTCGGCTCGCATTAGCCGCGCGTTTGCAAGCTTTTCGTGGTTTCAAACGTTCAAACATGTGATTTGATGTTGCTCCCATACATTAGGGTTGGGATTCAAGGTCAACTGAAGGTCAGGTCAGGTCATTGACCTTTGGTGACCTCGGGTGACCTCGGTTCACTTTTTCGAGATTTACATGTTTCTAGGCTAGTTTTTGGAGCTGAATTCGAATTTAGCAACCATTTGAACATTCACGAAGTAGTTTGTTGCCTTCGTAACATGTTACGAAGCTGTCAGAGGCGGTTGACACGTAATACGAATACCCGTCACAACCCCTACCGGTTGACCTGACCTGACCTGACCCAACCTGGTCTAAGTGCTTAAAGACATCATCTCTGATCAAAACTAACACGATATTCGTGATCAGCACCCCAGAAAACCACATAGCACCCACACTTTACGACTTTCTAACAGGTCCCGATTTTCCCGGTTTTCGGGTCATTGACCTGACCTGGAAGGTCACCCGATGACCTAGGACCTTAAAATTGGGTATCATCGGCTTCCTCTCGTGACGGGCAACACGCTCGTTTTTTTCCGCGAAGCTTTAGCTCGATCAGGGGCCAAACGCGAGGGGGGGTCGTACCACCCCCCCCTTGTGCCGTCGAAGGACGCAAAATGGCCTGTGCCGGCGAGGGATAATAACATTGCTGATCCATGCTTGGGCTATGATAATCGACTGTTTCCTAATGACGTCATCACTTAGAGATGCTCAACATCGAGAACTTGAATAACGCCAACTGATTTCAATTAAGATAACTGCGAACAAGTTCTGAAAAGTTTATCTAGCAGTATGAGGATGCATTGTTGAAGGAATTGTTATCAGTGAAGTGAAGCAAGCTAATACAGAAGTTTACACAGATATAACATGATCGCTTCCTTGCAATATTTTGCAATCCCAATCATTAATTTAACTCGTTAACTTCGTCGTAAATGCAACAATGTCTGCAGTGTTTCGAACGTTGGAAAATTGCTAATTACCAAAATAGCATGCGAAACAAAATCAATGCACAAATGAACGGAAAGAAACTCTCCCTGAGCAAGTGCAAAATTTCGTTTTGTAACTGAATTTTCAAACGCACCTTTTACAAGCTGTGTTCGATTCTCTCTTTTTTTTTTAAATAGACGACCTGGTAGGGTCTTAGTTAGCCTGGACGCTAAGCAGAGCTTGTTGACTCAGAATATCTATTCACTGTAATTGTATACATGATGTCAGTCATCGTAATGCAGTTCTGTGGGTGACTGCTGGAGCCAAACCTACAATCTATCTAGCTAGCTGCGGCCTGAACTCGTGTTTGCACACACACTCCCCGCCGATCATAGGCGCTGTATGTAGTAGAGGCTGCATACATTACGCACCGTGTATGCATTCACTCTCACCTACCTGTGCCTGTCATAGGTGCTGTACTGGGGCCGCCGCATCACCAGTAGCCGAGGCAGGATGTGGATGAACACCCGCCGCACCCAGGGCGCCATCGAGTGCGTTTGGGGCGACCGGAAGTGAATGTTGAGCACCACCACTGTAACACATATACTGAAACACGGAACAACCGCATCAGTTCCATGTATGACATTGACTAGCTACATAGATACACCTACTGAAACATCAATAAAAAACATAATATGTTTTTTGGTGGGGATAAAGGCCTGAAATAATAATAAAAACAACAGCCGCGCAGTATGTGCTTGTATATCAAACTACAAAGGACGCCTGAGACGTTAGCCCAAGAGGTGTTGCGCTATGTGTTAGGCGCAGGAGAGTGTCGTTAAACTGAGACTTTCAAGCTGCTTTAGGACGGTGTGCGCGGCGAGGCGCTCACCGCTCAGTCCTGCCCAATCCAGATTACACGGCGGCATCCATAATTAAATAGGCCGCCACCCGACCACGAAGGGGCCGGCCATTACCTGAACACGATTATGCAGTGAGAGAACCTCCGGAGAAGACGGTCTAGTGTTCGCGAGAAAATCACCGAAACGCTGCGCCCTAACTATTTCAGGCTGCAAATGGCAGAAATTTAAAAATGGTGAGGAGATATGATTATAAAGTCATACTGAGCAGTGAGCAAGTAAAACAAATGAGATTTGGCAATTGTGAACAAGAACTTGTGTTTTATTCACTCGCCACAGAACACCAAAAGACTTCATATCTCATACAAATTGAAGCAGCCTCGATGATCAAACGAGCTCGCCGTAATGTCACCGCCTCCAAATATTATAGTCCCTGACACTGTGTCACCTCGCCTCAGATCTGACCCCACAACCTGAATATTTACACAACTTCCAGCCAGCATTGCACCATGATATGGCAACATCAATGTGACCTTCATCACACAGAGTCCATATAAACGTCCCGCTGTGTGACATCTGACGCAAGATGACTTCCTTGATCCCACGCTATCCAGCAGCGGCTATCTAAACCCTGATCCGGGTGCCGACGCGGGCAGGCACCGGTTGGCTACATTTCCATCAGCACCGTAATCAGGCTTTCCTCTAGCACGGAGCTGCTCTGCTCCCGGGCTTACGACCGGCTACAGGCAGCGGTGGAGCGTGCGGTGGTGGCGGAGGGCGCTTACCTTAGCGTGTCCAATATCATTGTGAACAGGACGAACTTGCCGAGCAGAGGCACCACCAACGATGTCGGCGGAATAATCTCGGCCAGCAGCAGGAAGAACACAGTGAGCGACAGCAGAATGCTGATGGAGAGACTGACCTGGCGGATCGAAAGGACACAGGTTGGCATGGCAACGCGCGGAGGCGGACACGCTGGCGAGGCGCTACAATGGCGACATGCTTCCATGAAAACATAACCATCCACTGTGTGTGTCAAAAATCAAAATGAGTAGGTTTGACATTGCTGAGCCAACAATATTTACATGCTTTTTTACATGTGTTTTATTAAATGTTCAACTAACAACATTTCTTTTTTTAAAATGGCAGCTGGAAAATCAAAGGTACGGCCGCTATGCCCAATAACAAATTAAACGTGAACTACTGGCTACTGCAAACAAGTCCCGCAGTTATTGGCTCTTCGAGTCTGGGGCATACGACTTTCAACAAGAAAGAAATTAGAAAAACAAGAATAATAAAATTCTTCAAACATCCTTTGCGACGATTCTGCCGCAGGATGCGTTCCTCGCAGCCGTTTCCTCGCATATTGTCGAACAATATATCACACAAACTCTCCTATTAACACCATTCTTGAAACCCATAAACTGCATCGAGCGCGCAACACGTTTTCAACTTGGGACATATTGCATTCTTGAAACACTGCAAGCTAGATGAACCAATAAGTACCCATTAATGTTGAAAAAAACAAGTTGAAAGTAACAGTCACAGATAACAGTAGTACTACTGTTATCTGTGTAACAGTATATGAGCAAAGCTGTGTGTTTAATTGTTTAAAACACTATTCGTTAACATTTTTTTCCATCGAAAAATAAACCCGAGTTCTCTGACATAATGGTGTATATAAAAAACGATACTGCAAGAGGCATTTCAGACAAAATAGCTCCAAGTCATTACCACATACCTTCTCTCCACTATCGGAGGGCAGGTAAAACACCAGCACGGTGAGAAATGAGATTCCCATGCAGGGGATGATGAGGTTGACCGTGTAGAACAGCGTTTTCCTCCTCATGGTAATGTTGAACGTTATGTCCAGGTACGGCTCGTTGCAACACGTGTAAAACTTTTTGTTCCTGTAATGAAATAGCAATTATTCAGCCGTATTAGCGTGATCTTTGGTAATTTGGTACGTTATTAAGTGCAGAAATTAATATGTACCCAGATACACAAAAAGAAACAATCACGCATTACGCACACATTGGTTAGAAAGGTAGGTTGACATTTGGGCAAAAAGAAATAATGCAACGCAGGTTTTGCTAAAACTGATAATGAAAACGGGTATATTCATCAGACACAAGTTATAAAGCTTAGCCTATACCAATCAACTATCGTTTTTTTAGGGGGAAGGGGGCGTGACACACACCGCAAGGTTAGTTACCGTCTCACTGTATAGTGCACTATGGCTCACCGTATCGCCGGAACATCCAGAATATCCCATTCGACCGAGAGGTAAAAGTCTGACAAATCGACGCCAATTTTCACTTTGGAGTCGGTCGGGTCTTCCTCGACGTGCCGTAAATCGACCTGAAATGGATCAGAACCGGTGGCCTATCAAACCAAATGGGACGAAATGCCCCGGGCTAACTGCGCCCCGCTGGCTGATCTGGATCGAATCGCACTGGGAACTGGGCCTCATCTGACATTGGCCAAAAGGAAATGTGCTCCATCTTACCTACGCTGAAGAAAGCGGTCCTACGTATGACAGTTATTGAGTATGTGACCATTTTTGGCCAAGTTATTAAAAAAAAACGAATCTCTACTGTGGGGCAGTTCAACTCAGGTCCCCAATTGACCGAAAAGCTTAAAATCTGGTACTGCAGTCGCTACGCCTCGCAACAACGCAAGCCATTGTTTTTATCCGCGAGGCTCTAGCTCAATGGGGTTGGGAACTCGATTTTTTAAGAATGCATGAAAATGATCAAACTATTTTCACAGAATTTATGGTGCATACCATTGCCTCATAAAATCAATAAGCTGAGAGAAATGGGGGAAGAAAGATAGGAAACTTGTTTTGAAAAGTTCTTGAAAAAAGATGCTCTTGATGCTGTTACGTCACATGTCACCTTCTGCGGTTGACAAATAATGGCGCATCTGGCGCACCACAGATTACATGTTATATCAATGGGTGAAAGATGTTGTTTGCTTCACTCTGCCATTCGCGCTGTTTTTAACTTTAAATTATGTAAAAACATTTACGGATGAAATGTTCAGTGTCAAAAATTGATGTGTCTGCCGTGTACTATATTCCCACTTAACATGAGCGCGTGATAAACATTTTATGTACCTCGAATTTTCAAATGATAAAGATGATGAATCGGAGGATGCTGAAAAGCAAAAGCTCCTTCCAATATTTGGACTACTTTACGATTAAAATGTTTACATTCCTGTCATCTTATTGATCATTTATTTGTTCTTTTTTATAAAAATAACTTAAGGTGTTGAGAACCGAGGTAATTTCTATCTACCGTGCCTTAACTTACCAGCAACAGCAATCTATCTACGCCCTACGGTGGCAAGGAAGACTGTGAAAGAAGCGTAAGATGGATTCTAAACAATTCTTTTGTGATATACTGAAGGGCAAAGTGCAGAGAAAAGCGTACAAGTCCTGTTTTGTGCCAGGCTGTTGCAGTAGCACTTATGAAACTCCGAAAACGATCTTCGTTCATGTCCCGAACAACATTACCCTGAGGAGATGATCGTCTGCAATAGCAGGAAGAGCTGATGCAAGTACTTTGAAATCCACTATCAAGTCGGTGCTATTGTTGTAATGATCACTGTGAGGTGAGATATTTTGTGCAAGGGCTGAGTGTAATGCCCAGGAAATGACCTCCATTCGCCCCCTGACCGGTCAGGGTTATAAAATTTGAGTGGATGGCAGTCCGTTTGGGGTTCAGATGTCAATTGTATTTTGTTACTGTCAAACAATACATGTTATGCTGGCAGCGAATGTGTGTAACGTCGTTTTTCGAAACAGAAGTTAGAACTGTAACGGCAGAGTGCTTGTTGGTCTCATCGTAAGTATTGTAAGTGTTGTAAGCAAAAGCATTGTCAAGATTGTAAGTATTGTGAGCATTGATGTATGGTAGATATCACCTCACATGATCTCGGCTCAGATAACCCTCTCCGGTGTCCCTGTCAGTAAATGGCACCTGGATCATTACAGATAAGATAATTCGTCATAATTCTTAAAGAATTGGGTGGTTTTGACTCGTTTACTCGAGGTGCAGGTCGCATTTCAATACCTACTTTTCGCAATGTAAAGGTCACGACTCTGACCTAACCTCAGGTCACAGATAAAAAATTCTGAGATATAGGTACAAACGACACATACTGCAGGTACTGTTTTGAAGACTTGATGAGAGGAAATAACTTCGTGAAAAACTCAAGCTCTGACGTGTTTGCAAACTTTTCTGAGGTGGGGTCAACAAACCCGCTCTGGTTACCTGACCTGACCTGACCCGGCATTTTTTTTTTTTTTTTGCTGATATGTGCGCAATGAGCATTTAGGAAAAGTCACCAAATATGAGCTGAATGTCTCGCGGCGTTTGGCAATTGTACAAGAAAATCCTGAAAGGTCTCCCCGTCCGAAATAGGGTTAATGTGTATATGAAGAGTTGCAGATGCCAAACATACCCAGATCTAAGACTGCAGTTCCCAGCGCCGCTGCAACGTTTTTAAAACAAACATACATAGGACATACAAACATGTTTATTTGCATCTGTTTTGGATAATAGCAACTCATGGCGCCATCACCCGCGATAACTGTTAGGATTTGAGATATATTTTTATTTAGGCCATTAGTTTGGCTGTAATGTTTATTAATATTAGTAGGGCGGTGTTTGGTAGTTTTTTATTTAACTTGTGGTATGTTGTGCTGATTGCGGGTTGTTCAAACCTTTCAAATGTAAGGACCTTATTGAACTCAACCCTACCCCTACACTACCCTACATACGACTGGACGCTTTCCAAGCCCACAAGCATCACGACGCCGAGATGGAATGTAGCCGAGAAATCACCCTCGCCATCTGCTCTAGAGCTAATCGTGTGGGGCGGCGTGTGGGGCGCCGCTTAGCCTATGGGGGTGCACTTCTAGTGAATGGGGGACGGGGGTGCACCTGCACCCCTTTCATATGGAAAGTTACTTCCCTGATTACAGCTCCCCGTATTGCACCTAATCAGGGAACGGCCAGCAAACGAAGGAACTATTTCTGGATGACAGGCGAATAACCGCTCACGCAGGAGCGGAGCTCCGCCCCGTCCAAAGTGGCCAACAAAGCAGAGACAGAGGCAGCATCACATCTTCCATCAAAGAACTGGTTTCTGGCTTGGAAGATGAGCTCCATCTTTGCATCCGAGTCGGTGCTGTCAGGAATCAGCTGGTCTAATGGAGTGAGAGCAGTGAGACGACTAGCTATTGTATCAGAGCTGCCTGGTCTTCGTAGCATTTGCACCGATTCTTCTCGATCGGACTCTGAATTCTGTCCCTCCTGCGTATTACTTGAGGCATTGCTATGTAGCTAAGTCTTTGGCAGAGTTTCATTATCCATGCTTTGCAAACAGTGCCATAACAACACAGTTAATTAATCACCAAGCTTCTTTGCAAGTTCCAATACAGTTGAATCGCACGCGATTTGAGTGCAAAAATCAAGAAAAGTGCCAACTTGTTCCCGTAAAATATTTTGAATATTGACCTAAAAAAATGAGTAATTTCCAGATAAAATAACAGCGAAATCAGTTTTCGCTTGCCAATAAAACTCACAGATATTGAAGCTCCATTATTAAAGGAACATTTTAGTATATGCCACTCTTGATAAAACTTCTTAGCCACGCAATACCAGCGCAAAATAAAGAGACACTGAAAACACGACCAATCACTCCGATTTACCATAGGAAAATACATAGAAAATGTATGTCTCAACTGCGCCAAATATACAGACAGTTATATACCTACATGTGACGTCATGATTAGCCCGACCAATCAGAAGCAAGTCGTTTTCAGCCACAAATAATTAATTTCTGAACTAACTAGGCATTTTTTTAACAAAGTGATTTTAAATTAAATCATTAAAAATTCTGAGCTTTTTATTTTACCAAAACATACAGAGCATGCAGATAGGTCCCAACCCTATTATGGGCGAAACGAGTTAGGGAGATCATTTCCACCCCTAGGCGGGGTATACGTAGAGGTCCGACAGGTCCTGCATAGAGGTTAAAAATTATTCTGTGTTTTAGGTAACATCATTATTGAAACGATCTCATCACTCAATAGGTATCGATGACGATTGTTTTACAAGATGCCGTGACACACCATTTGGTGACATCATCCGTTATCGAATTGAGTTGAATTTCGTTAGGTTCATCCGACAGATATTGCAGCATAGTGCGATTTGAACAGGTATTTGCACACATGCTATTTAATCAAGTGAATTAGCACTATCTGAATGGCAAGCCGAGCCCATTTGCTGTACCCTAGCGTCCGACTCCGGTCTACCTCCTGCCGTCCCTCCCCACTCTCTCTTCTCCCGTCGCCGGCTCATCAGCACTCTCTCCAGCCTGGCTGAACTCCTCTGCATGGCCGGCGGCGCGCGGTGTACCGCGGCCAGATTCAGAAATTCATTTTACACGGGCACGGCGATCCATCAGGCCGGGTGCCGGCAGACAGGCCGCTGTCCGACACCCCGCCCCTCTCTCCCTCTCCTCCGACCCTCTCTCCGTCGCTGACGACGCGCCGCCAGACGCCAGAGGCGCGCGCCGCTCATCAGAGGCAGAGTATAAGGAGCGGGGTCAGGGTGTTTGCAAATTGCAACACTGCAGACCGCCAGAGGATGCGTAGAGAATGAAGCGAAGTTGGAGACAGGAAAGGAATATGCTACTGAGTGGATGGGAAATGAGTCTAAGACCACTGAGCCGCAAATGAAACAGTCCGTCATTGCAAGTAGTCACCGGTTGGCGTGTCGATTTTGCCAAGGATTAAACAAGATTATACACAATAATCACTTGAATGCAGGACTCATAAGCCCCTCGAGCGAACACAAATGCCCATTCAGTGCTGAACTGCTGACAGCTCCTCCCACCACAGCCGCAAGACGGCGAGCGTGCACTGGCATGGCCGCGGTCCCACCTTCCACCCCCTGAATAATGGATTTCCTGGACGGTATACATTAGCTCGCGCCGAACGGCTGTCCAAGCCTGGCCGTGCCCGCAGGCTATGGGGCTGCGTCAGGACGCGCCCCTGGGTCACGGCGGTCCCCTCGCCGCATAGCGAGTGGTAGAGACGCCCCCAGGGAAGGACGGATGAATGACATGAGACTAAGGCGCGGTGCATGGGTGCGTGCGAGTGGCGCGGGCGGTGGAGATCGAAAGTGTGTGTTTAGACAATCTTCAAGGATGACGCGGGGCTGTATGCAAAAAAATGGGGCAAGCTCGGGGAAATGAACATTGGTAATACCTACTTTATGCTATAAATCTGACTTCCTGTTGCTATTTTCATCATCTTTTTTTAGGAGCTAGTTTTCCCGTTACCCTACCAAAACATCTGAAATTAAGCATGTTACCGTTCAAAATTGTATTCACCTATCCTACATGGCATGCACTGCAGAAACTAAAGAAACTAGCTTACCTGTTTTCCGTCGTAGGTCCAGCTGCCGAACTTCATAACGCACGTCTGCTCGTCAAACGGGAAGTACTCGACGTCAATCTCGCACGAGGACTTGTAGATGGCCGGCGGCTTCCATTCCACCTTTCCGTCGGCGTACAGAGTGGCTTTGGTGGCCAGAGTTACTTCAAAGTTACCATCGGCACTGGCGATGAGAAATGGAAATAAAGATAGGCATGAAGAAACGTCTATCTGTATAATGGTAAAATTATGAAGTGTGTGTTTATTTAAGTGTTTTTAACTGGTGTGGCTTTCAATAAACTCTGTTCGTTTTAACCCTATTCCTGGCGGGCTCCGCCGGGACAAGAAACTGGCGGGGGGGGGGGCCGATTCGGCCCCCCCTGAGATCTCGAGAACGAAGCAAGATAGCGACAAGCGGTTAACGGCATCGGATACGCATGGACAAGGTCTACAATTTTTACAAAGGTCATTTTCAGGTCAGGTCAAAGATGACGTCACAGGGGTCGAAAAAGTCAAAATGGCGGCGCTAGATATGGAGAGAGTTTTTCTCGAATAACTTTCGTATTAGTCAAGATAGGAACAAACTAAGGGCATCATCGTGATCCTCTCGTCAATCCGCATCGAATGATATATATGTTGACCTCGAAAGGTCAAGGTCAAAGGTTGACCTCAGGTCACGTGACCTCGAGGTCATCATGTATATCATTCGATGCGTCTTGACGAGCTGAACACAATGAGACCATCCACGCGTCTGTATCTTGTTCCTGTACGGAGTTATTGGCCAAAAACCTTTGGTGACCTTTGATGACGTCACATGACCTCACAGCTGCCCAACAGCAAAACAGACCTCAAGGTAGTGAAGGTTGATCGTATATGAAGTCATGTATGGTATATGGGGCCATTCCGACCCGTTTTAGTGGTAAAAACAGGGAGTTGATTTTTCCCCCATTGACTTATAATGGGGAGGTCGCGAAACTGACCTGACCTTAGGTCACCGATATCGAAATTCCGAGATATACAAATTGCACATACTGGTACCTTAACTAAAGCCTGAAGAGAAGAAATTGATCGGTCAAAAACTCTAGCTCTGGCGTGATTGCAAACTTTTCTGAGGTAGGGTCACCAAACCGCCTCTGGTGACCTGACCTGAGGTCAGATCAACTCAAAACTTTCAGACATGTTGCGTAGAAGCCTTTTAGGAAAAGTCAGAAATTTTGAGCTTCCTAGCTCAACGCGTTTGGGAGAAATAACCAAAAAACCTCAGGGGGGGGGGGGCTCCTGAGGCCCCCCCCCCCGCAGGAATAGGGTTAATTGGATGTTTTTATAATGCCTTAGACTGGATGTTATAAACTTTGACGGAATAAGCTGATGCTACAAACAAATTCGCGAATCGCGATAGTCGTCCGAGAACGGAATATATGTATTTATTACAAATTCCCAGCATCCCGTTCAGCCTATAATTCCAGCTCTTTTTTAACCATGATTGAAACAGTATCATTTGGTGTTTACTGATGTTGACCGGCTGACTTAGCCTGGTCACGACCGCAGGGCAAGTACGTGACCGAAATGTAGGAGCAAATATTGACACAGTCGACTTTCAGATGTGAATACCAACTGTTTGAGTCAGAATCGCCAAGGTGCAGTCCCGATTGTAAGTTTATCTAGTTTTCTCAGCACATTGGACGCTATTCCAATTGAAAACTTTATTTGGTTGTTGTAACTTACATTTATTGTAATGGTTAAATTTACCGTAACCGGACAAATCTTCGTATGGCATTTATTCGTCGCGCAATATTTCGTCCGCATTTCTTCGTCCGCAAATCTTCGTCGGCGCATTTATTCGTGTCGCATTACTTCGTCTCGCATTTCTTCGTAGGTGCAAAAATTCGTAGCGCATTTCTTCGTATCCGCATTTCTTCGTCGGCGCATTTCTTCGTCAAGCATTTTCTCGTCCACGCATTTCTTCGTCTACGCAGATCTTCGTCCGCATTTCTTCGTCCACGCAAATCTTCGTCTGCGCAAATCTTCGTCCGCAAATCTTCGTCCCCGCAAATCTTCGTCCGCAAATCTTCGTCCGCATTTTTTCGTCCACGCATTTCTTCGTCTACGCAAATCTTCGTCCGCATTTCTTCGTCCACGCAAATCTTCGTCCCCGCAAATCTTCGTCCGCAAATCTTCGTCCGCAAATCTTCGTCCGCAAATCTTCGTCCGCATTTTTCGTCCACGCATTTCTTCGTCCAATCAAATCTTCGTCCGCAAATCTTCGTCCGCAAATCTATGTCTGCGCTATCTTCGTCTCCGCAAACACTCGTCCACAAATGTGGTTCAATAAAACCATGAAGAAATATCAGACAGTCAAGTGAATGACGAATTTGATGCATGGAATGGATGATCGAAACTTTTGAAGTCAGGTAGATGAGGTCAGTCAGGTGAAGCTATTGTATTTGGAGCCGACAATTGTAACATTCCATATCATTTGTGTCCCGGACATTCTTTTTTTCGCGGTCGTTGAATGACAATATAATCTCTTGTACCCTCGCCGGCATAGGCGGCGGAACGGGGAGGGCACCGGGGCACCGTTCCCCTCTTTAATTTTGGCCTTTTAACAGTAGCCCTATGGGCGTTGCATGGAAAGCATATTGGACCAAAAGTCGGCAGTGCCGTGCCCCCCTTAATTGAAGATGTTCCGCCGCTACTGCCCGCCGGACCTATTTGTTTTTTACGGTACACGCCGGCCGAGGGGGCGGCCGGCGGGTACGACCCCCCCCCCCATCGCCGTTTCGCCACTGGCGGAGCTAGCGCGTCGCGGAAAAAAACGAGCGTGTGCGCCATTACGAGCCGCAGAGATTAATACCCGATTCTAAGGCCTTCTAGGTCAGGGGTCGGCATACGGCCCGCGGGCCGGATCCGGCCAGGTGGGTGACGGTTGGATCCGGCCCGCGACCATCTGACGTCCGGCCCGCGGCTGGTATCAGCGACTTACATCGTGTTCCGGCCCGCCCCCCCCCACACACACACCGCCTGGAAGGTTAAGCGAGTAGACCACGTGAAGCCGCCAAGTGCACGCAGCTGCAGCAGTCGTTGATGCTGCGCGCAAAAGCTGCTGACCAAATCTTACCGTTAGAAGTTTTGTCTAGAAGTAGAATTAGACAAAAACACCCGCAAATGGTGTTTATAAACTCATGAAGTGAGCAAAGAAAGAACTGTTGTGCCAAAGCACATTTGAGTCACTTTTATATCGGAGTCGATTTATGAAGGAACCGCGGGCCGGAACACGATGTAAGTCGCTGATACCAGCCGCGGGCCGGACGTCAGCTGGTCGCGGGCCGGATCCAACCGTCACCCACCTTGCTGGATCCGGCCCGCGGGCCGTATGCCGACCCCTGACCTAGAAGGCCTTAGAATCGGGTATTAATCTCTGCGGCTCGTAACGGCGCACACGCTCGTTTTTTTCCGCGACGCGCTAGCTCCACCAGTGGCGAAACGGCGATGGGGGGGGGGGTCGTACCCGCCCCCTCGGCCGGCGTGTACCGTAGAAAACAAATAGGTCCGGCGGGCAGTAGCGGCGGAACATCTTCAATTAAGGGGGGCACGGCACTGCCGACTTTTGGTCCAATATGCTTTCCATGCAACGCCCATAGGGCTACTGTTAAAAGGCCAAAATTAACCCGCGCCCCACTGGGGGGGGGCTATTTATAGCCCCCCCCCCCCCCGTTTTTCTGCAATAACTTCCAAACCGCTTGACGAATCGACACCAAACTTTCAGTACCTTCGGCTGCATCAATTTGACACCTTGTGTCAAAATTTGAACTTCGTAGCTACCATAGGTCGGCCGGAAATGACGTCAGAGTGACGTCATGTTCGTCCGATTTCGACGCAAAACATTGAACCACGGCAATCGCTCCCAAGAGCTCAGTTTTTAAGCTAGATCCAATTTCTTTGCATGAAAGAACTCAGAATTGACCACGCTATCAAACTGCTATCTCGGATTTTCAAAATTTTGAAAATTTCGAAAATTTTATAATAATATTCAAAATTTATATTTTTATATTTTTTTTTCAAAAAGTTTTTGACTTTTCGAAAAACCGGAATATATGTGACAGAATGCATGATTATGACTAACTCTAGCAAGTTTTAGCTAAATATCTTCAAAAATGGCCAAGTTATACGCATTATTGCAAAAAATTCACAATTATTAATTTTTCAAATCAATTTTTCAGTACGTATTTGGCATCGTACACCAATATAAATGGCACCATCGTGTTCCTGAGCTCAAACTGCATCCATTAGACACCTTTTTTGTTGAAAAATTTCAACTTCAAAATTTGACCTTTTTTTACCTGAAAGTGACCTGACCTAAGCTAATTTCGACTCAAAATGACCTTGAATGACACAGACGACATCAAATTCGAAATCTATGGCCTAAATGGACCATAAAACATGTGTCACGTGATCGACGCATGATATAATATTTTCGTGACCTGTGATGACCTGACCCTGACCTGAAAATCAAAGTACAAGTTTGGTACCCTCAAGGTATCTAGAGCATCTGTTCACGAGTGTGGAAACCAAAAATGAGCCTGATCTGACTTGTAAGACGGCGGCCAGAGCCCAAAATGTGAACAAGCCAAAGTGCTAATAATTTTTACTTTGACCTGACCTGTGACGTCATCGGTGACCTCGAGGTCAATGAAATTAGGTTTCGCTCGACAGTTTTTCCGAGGCTATCAGACGCCGTTTGAATTTTGACGATCGGCCCAGTAGTTTCGGAGTTAGGAGGGGGGCTATGAATAGCCCCCCCCCCCCCCAGTAGGGCGTGTTATACACAGACCCCAGTGGGGCGCGGGTTAAAGAGGGGAACGGTGCCCCGGTGCCCTCCCCGTTCCGCCGCCTATGCCGGCGAGGTTACAAGACTCCAAGAGATTATATTGTCATTCAACGACCGCGAAAAAAAAAGAACGTCCGGGACACAAATGATATGGAATGTTACAATTGTCGGCTCCAAATACAATAGCTTCACCTGACTGACCTCATCTACCTGACTTCAAAAGTTTCGATCATCCATTCCATGCATCAAATTCGTCATTCACTTGACTGTCTGATATTTCCTCATGGTTTTATTGAACCACATTTGTGGACGAGTGTTTGCGGAGACGAAGATAGCGCAGACAAAGATTTGC